CGGTGGCTGCCCTGCGAACGGCTTCGCCACCAGTTCAATGCCATTGTTCCGTGCGGTCTATGTCACGGGCGATCTATGTATAAAAACAACACCAAACGACGGGTCTTGTCTAGTCCTCGTCATCATCCAATCCTGATGGTTCTTCGCCTTCTCCTTTCCTCAGTCGTACAGCGAACATCGGTACAGCAAAGAGAACGCTCAGGCCACCTATCAAATAGTATGGTAATCCAATGAAAGGACCGCCTAGCTCCAGGCCTCTCTTGAAAAGCCCGGCAAGCAAAGGACTGCCAAACATTGTTCCCAGAGTATCGACAATACCGATCACGCTGTAAGTCCTAGCAACTTCGTGCGTCGGTACAAGTGATGTTATAAAGGACCTCAAAAGCAGCATCGCTCCGTATCCTAAGCTGGACACTGCAAGCGCACTGCCCACAAGGACCACGTTGGGTGCCGCAGCGACGCCAAGCCAGCCTATTGCTACGAGACATTGAGAGAGCCTGGCCAAGTAGAGATCCTTCTTCTGAATACCAAGGCCGAATCGGGTCATGACGAGCTCCGATATCTTTGGTAAAATGATGAAAAGCAGAGCAACCTGGACGCCGTTCTTGACAGTCGTGAGTAAGGTTGCTTTCGAAAACGTCAGGGCATAGCGCTTAGAGACGTATTGGATCAGCAGACGACCCGAGGATGCTACGAGAATGTGAACTGTGAAAGGCAGAATCAATGCCGGGACTCGCCAGTCACGATGTAGGAAGGCAAGCGCGGATTTGACATTAGTCAACACGGCTTTGATGCGCAAGGAAAGAGCGGCCGGGGTCGATGTCTGCACAGGATCTGGACCTGAAGCAGTTGTATGAGCATCTTCCATTGCAGTCGGGGGATTGGCTCTTGCAAAATAGTCCAGTGTTTCTGGCACGAACAAATACAGAATGGCGGCACCACACATGAAGCCAGTGCCCATGAGAGCAGGTATCCACGGATTCATGGCCATCAGCCATGCGGCGACTGGAGGCATGAACAGGCTGGCAGACAGGTTCGCTGCGCCCAGCCGGAGGAAAGCACCAGCTCTGTCACTTTCAGTGGTGACATCGCTGACCGTGACGAAAAATAAGGCAGAGGCTGTTGTACTGCCGCCTCCAAGTAAAGAAAAGGCCGACTGGAACCAAGTAGCCCGAACGTCGAGCGATTCCCAGAACCACGCGACAAGCTGTACCCAAACGGTCCGCGCAGCACCTTGTACAACTCCAAGCATGAGGAACGGCCAGCGTCCATAGCGATCAGCGGCCCAGCCAAGAGGTATCGCAAGAGCCAAGGCAGGAAAGCCGTCGAGAAAAGCTTGAATGCCTGAGAGCATAGCTAGGTCGTCCTGGACTTTGTCGGCTTTGCAGTACATCTCGTCAACACCTCCAATAGCGCCAGGCCCGACACGACTTCGACCGAGTTTGATTTTGCTCGGGTCGACTTCCTCATAGTACTGATAGCAGATGACCGATTCGAGAATGCGAGTGAAGGGGGCTTCTTGCAGTTGGTCACCAAAAGATGTAAGGAGGACGACAAGAAAGATAATGAGGAGAATTGAGGAAGGCGACTTCAACAGTCGATGTCGCGGGTTGAGGTCAATGTTGTGGTAGCTCGATCTCGAGAGCAGAGGAGTGTGTTCACTTGACGATGGCTCTTCTGTAACGGCGGTTGTGTAATTGTATTTCGAGGCTGGAGGTCCTTCATCGCCAGGGTAGGTTGGCCTTTTCGCGCCGATCATGATTGCAATGACAAGATACTGAAAAGAGCCAGTACTTCCGCTGTGATGCTTTGCTCGTCAGAAGAGGAATTTTGTTTCCATTCCGGACCGCCAAGGGTTGAAAGAGTGTTATGCCGTGGTCACACTTATCCCAGCAAGCTTGATATTCTTGTCGTGCCTTGCTTCAAAGTACGAGCTTGTCCGCAGGATACTGAGCGCGGAGTGAGGCGAGAGTGTTTCGCGCGATGAGTCGCTGCCAGTGGTGCGTGGTGTCCAATCTCTGATATGCCCATTCCAAGATGATGTCGTGTCGCTTGAAAAAGGAGTTGTCATTGTGGCATGTTCATCATTGAGCAAGGCCAGCTTATACCGTGGCTTCATCGAAGTCTGACGACAGCGCATCGTAACATGGCCGCGTAGCAGCAGGAATCCTTCCATCGATAAGGAGTGCAAAGGAGGCCAGTGGAAGGATGGCGTTCGGGGTTGCTTGTTGGCGTTTGATGAACCCTGTCTTCGGAAACCTTGTTTGCGCATCTAGGCATCACAATAACAAGGTCCCAATCACAATCTGTGGTATAGACCTGTAAGGCTGCACAAGACACGGAATTCCCGACACCATCTGAAAAGATATTCATTCGCAAGCAAAATGTAGGGGTATCATTCTCCTCCCAACTCCCAGCCCATTGTAGGGTCTATCGGACCAGCCTGTCTCCCGATCCAGCCTCTGCATCTTCAGAGCTTTGTTCTTTGCCTTGACCGAAGACTCCAGAAGCCCATTGTTTGATCTCTTGAATCTTATCGTTGATCCAATCCCGCCAGGAGCCGCTCGGGGTGCCATCTAGAGTCCCATCTCCGTCATCTATCGCCGCCTCTGGAACTGGCGGCTTGAAAGAACTACCATCAGCGGTAATAGCTGGGAGCGGTAGTAATATACTAGCATCGACGTGATTTATTGGGGGAGGATCGTCTGGTTCTGGCACAAAGGCCTCGAAATCATGCAGTCCATCTGTCTGCAAAGGCAGACGTATGGTTCCGTTATTCGGACGCGGCTCGATTCCAAGACTGTCGCATATGATGTTGTACACCTCTGTGTTCTGGAACGGCTTCAACCGGCTGCCAGGTGTGTGCGGGAAAGCAGGACCTCTGGCAACGAATATAGCACGCATAAGAGGATGTTCGTGGTCGTAGCCATGTAGACCTCGCGGATTATATGTCTCCCCACGGTCTAATGCTGTCACCAAGTCAAACTCGTGTTTGGGAGCGATGGCCCAGCCAGCCTTTGGAACAATCCACAAAGGCGCGATGCGATCATTTTGCGAAAAATGATAGCGCTGGGGCATATTTTTGTCGCGTAGGTAGACGTCGAACTTGCCCTTATGTTCGGACATGCGAACCTTGGCAGATATTTCATTGTAAATTTCCATGAGCTTCTCTGGAGACTGATCAAAAGGACGCAGGCCGAAAAGTGGCCAGCCGTCTGTATGTTCGATCAATGATGTGTCCACCAAATCCTCGAGCTGAACGATCCGGTGGTTTGAAGTGGTTGCCATGCCATGATCAGAAACGACTACAATGTTGACCACGTCTGTGAGATTGCGCTCTTCAATGCCTTTGAAAATCTTTCCGAGCATTCCATCCACCTCGGCGATTGTGGAACGTATATAAGTGCTGTTGGGTCCATACTTATGCCCGTCGGAGTCCACATTCGGAACGTATGCTGCAATCAGCTGCGGCCTCGGTGTCTCGACAGATGCTCCTTGATCGTGAGGTCCTGGGAGGTCCAGCCAGCCCAGAATGCGATTGACCTTATTGCCCAGGTGTTCATTGCCATTGAATTTGTCCACGTATGTTGGTTCCATCGGCGGTAGGTGTGCTTCAGACCCAGGCCACATATGAATGGCTGTTCGGATACCTTGTGTCTCTGCAGTCTCCCAAATAGGTTCAGCATTCCAATACTCAGGTTTCATGCTCAGTTCAGGGTCTCCGTAAGTGAATGCCTTTTGCATATTGGGATCCCAGAAGGAATTTCCAACGATTCCATGCGACTCAGGATGAAGGCCGGTCACCAGAGTGAAATGGTTCGGAAACGTTAAAGATGGGAAAGATGGTTCCATGTATCTTGGAGAGACGCCCTGCTGGATTAAGGATTTCAAAGTCGGCGTCAATCCACGATGGAGGAAGTCTGCGCGGAAGCCATCCAGGCTGATGAGAATCGTCGTCGGCGCGAAGTCGTGAGTCCCATTCGACAGCGTCTTAGCCATGTACGCTTGATTGGAAGGCCTTGCGCCTTGCGAGGCTTTGTACGCGCCATACATGAAGCCCAGGAAGGCGATTAAGATCAAGAGGTGTATGACAGTGAACCTTCCCAATCGCGATATCTTGGACTGCCATTCGCATTAGCAAGAATGGGCGACTCATGTTCTCTAGCCATTGCCTACCTGATCCTTCTCTGTGGTTGTTCGTAATCTGCCAGAGTCCTCATCACTAGAAATGTCCGTACTCGACGACCTACCGCCTTCTTCCACTTTGTACATCAGCTCTCCGTCCTCCCCGCCCCGACTGCGCCGCCATGAGCTCTTTCTGCGCCGTTTCGACGGCACTCGACTCTCGTCCTTTGGCCTGCCGTCTCTTCGGAATAAGCCACTCAATCCGCGCTCATTCGTCCCGCTTCCGGTCAACAAGCGTTCCGCCTCTTCCTCGGCTGATATTGTCTCTTGATCGTGTCGCCGAATCTCGTCAGACGTGCGCGGCACCTCCGTCTCATCGCCGCTGAGATCTAGCTCCTCCTCAGGATCGCAATGGGCTTCCTGCGGAGGCACTCTCTCGTATATGTGTGACGACATTACCGCACTGAAGACCGTGCTAATGCCTCAAGCAAGTTCCATGCCTCGCCATCGAATTTGTTCATGTTCATAGGAGTGCTGTGCAAATCATCGCCGCCGCCTCCCCTTCAATCAAACATTCAATCTCACGTGATCAGCGGGCCCAGACTTCACAACCGTCCTTCCATTCCTACAATATGCAGGTCGTGAAACAACACGCCACATGTCTCAACGGTTGCTACGAACTACAGCACGCCCGACCGCAGGGGCCAGGCAAACAAGACTGCAAATACGGTTCGCGAGAGAATTGTCTCACCATAGTCTCGACCGCAAGCGATGAACGGTCGTTGTGAACTCTATCCCGATGAAGGTGACTTGCAGAAGCGACGCCTTGTGGCAACTCAAGATGCCCATGCCATGGCGTTAGCGTTCGGATACGCACGTGGGATTGATCGAGACTCTAGGCAAGCAATGCTTGTCAGACCTTCTTCACAAATCGGCGACGAAATTTGATGGCATTTTCTGAGTCGTCTGCAACGCCATCGATGTAATTAATCTAGGTTGTCATTGACGCCTAGATGGGTCAACAGGTTCTGCTCTGGATCAAACCTACGGGATCACAGGTCGTGTCTCCCGTGCAATGATCCATCCTCCACCAAGCTGTCGAGCCAGCATCTTGCACAAGTTCGCATTTTGGTGCCGCTTGCTATGCTAGAATACATCACCCGAGCCACTCGCTCGAGTATGATGCACACAATAGAACAACGCCGAGAGGGCTACGTTTTACAGTTTGCAACTGTTCTGTCGCCCCTCCGTCAAAGCCAGCCCAGCCAAAACAAAAAATACATACGCACGCACAATCCCATGTCACCCATGCGGTACAGAATCTCCGCACAATCACTCGCGAATATGGTATATAGTGCTCACACTCAGGACGCCGGAAAGCGGGGGAAAGCTCAGGCCCGCAGAAGATGTTCGTCAATTGCAGTAAGCAATGAAGGATGTATGCGGTAGAGATGCGCAGTTCGGATATCATCACCTCCCGTATCCGCCTCCATATGCCACGCCCTCCATCGGAGCTGACGGCGCAACACCATTGAAAGGAGTTGGCCCGCCACCTTGTGCTGTGTTCAATGGCGGCAGTGAAATTCCGGAAGATCCGTTCGTCTGACCTTGGGACTGTTGTTGGCTGAGTTGCGATGTGAAATGACCATAGATATGAGGGTTGTCCGGCTGTAGACGGCGAAGATGTTGCTGCATTACTTGAACTTCGGTCTTGAGCATCTCGTTCTCCTTATGTGCCTCGCGACCGTACTCGGTGTCTCGTTGTAGTCGCTGTACTTCAGCATGGAGTTGACGCTCATTGTGCTGTACACTTCGTATGTAATCAATGGCTGGGACGGAGAATCAGAAACGCATCCTCTCGAAGTTTAATGCCTTTGCCACGAACCTTTTGTGAGAATCTCCCACTTGCTTGCCTTGGTGCCGCCGTTGGCAGGAACTGCTTTGTTGAGCTCTTCGAAGAGGTCTTTCATCTCGCTTCTTCGTTTCCTCTCAGCGAGCTTGTGACTCACTCGTAACTCGGGTGTTCGGCTGTAATTGCCAACGCCCTGCGGAGGCATACTTTCGCTCTGCAAGCTTTGAATTGTCCGATGCTGCATGGAATGGTGATGTGTGGTAGCCGCTTCTGCAACGCAATCAGTGAGACTGTCATATTGGACCACAAATCCTTTCCTACCATCTTCGGTAAACGTACGCTGGCCAGCTGGGAGCTGAGAGTCAGTCGAAAAAATGCTGCTGCGCACGGAAGAAGCCGCAAAGCTGTTTTGCCTGGACATATGTCCAGCGCTGGACTCGCCACTATCCGAACCGCGTCGTTCTTCTGGTATAGGGCCGTCAGGGAAAGCCCAAGCATAGCCTTGAGTTGGTTTGGCGGCGGTAGGATCGGGAACACCAGGACCTCGTCCTACGGGCATGATAGGAGGCGCAATTCTGGGCGCGGTGAGTCCACCACGACTACCAGAACGAGCACTGAGCGGTGACATTGGCGTCCTGCCATTGTTTGGATTCCGTAAACTTGCAGCTAGAGAAAGTTGAGAGTTATTCGCGCTCTCGTATGGCGATGTTGGCGCATTTATGTATAACGAGTTGAATCCCTGGTGCATGCGGCTGTCTACGCTGCTTCGTCGCGAGTCTAAATGTGGCGCCAGATCTCGACTGTCTCGGTTGTAACTGTCACGGTTCAATTCGCGGCCCAGACTATCGCGTTGGTTGTAGCTGTCACGATTCGATCCATCGTTGAAGCCTTGATTGATAGAAGGCAGTTGAGATCCGGCTGATTGAGCCGAGTTTGGCACCCGCGCCGACAGCGGGGTGCTGGGGACAGAGTGGCGGGATGGTGATTCATCCGGGTTCAGCAATGTGTGGACTTGTAGGCCTTGACTGTTGGCCGAATTGTCTGTCAAAGGCTGGTTAGCGAAAAGTTCGAAGAGTTGCCCCGCCGTAATGTTCGGGTAGTGAAGCCAGCCAGGCAGAAGTAGGGGCACCTGCACCTGCACATTGCGCAAAGGCGCAGCTCGAACTTGCACACGGTCGGCATTCACATCGCTAAGCCGGTGTAATGGTGCTGTGAAGTGGAAGGAAGGATGCACTCACGCTTGCTCTGCGGTTGCGGCCAGGTACCCGAATCGCGTGTCGAGTCTGAGGCGGATTGCTGGTCGGGCGATATTGGCGCGGAAGGTGGAAGACCATTGGTCAGGCTGCTAATAGAAGGGAGGCCTTGGCCCTGAGGATGCTGGTGCTGCTGAGCAGCAGTGTGAGGTGCCGCCATGCTTTGCGACTGAGATTGGATTCGAATGGCACTGGCTGTGCGCGACAAGCGGATTAAAGGCGAATGCCACGCGCGGATAGAAGGCCGGAGGTTTGAGGGACCAAGCCCGGCAGACCAAGGAATGAACAGCTGAGGATCTGGCACTCAATGGCCCAAACGATGGTGCGCGCCGGTCTTCTGGCGCGGTAAATGCGTATTATTGATTGAATCGGAGAGTTGAAGTTCGCTGAAGCGGGGTCGTTATTAGTGTGCAAGGCACAAGGCATCACTTCTGGCGGCGCAGAACTCACGAGCGGCAATGATTGTAATCGAATGAGCTTCACCAGGAGGAGAAAGCAGCGGCGGCGGCGGCGGCAAAGGTGCGTGGTCCGAATGGTACAGGACGTCAAGACGCCGCGAAAGTAAAAGGGCTGGCAGCACAAGGCGGCCGCACAGCTTGCTCTATTAGGGCGACCAAACCAGGTAGTCGGGAGGGCTGGAGAGCGAAGGGGATTGCCAGCGACGAGTCGATGCGCCAGGAAAGGTCAGGTCGGGCGCAGAAGCGATGCGCTGCGCTGCGCTGCGAGGCGATGCGATGCGATGGGCTGCGTGCGATGGCTGCGTGGTTCGGATGAGCAGAGCTGGCCTGGTGAACAGTGACGCCGGCGGGAGTGTCGCGCGCTGCGCTGCGTGGCACTCGGCAGCTACTGTAAGTTAGACGCGCTCTCGAGTCTCAACTCTCCAGGCCCTCGATCGTCTCCACGCAGGCGGGCACACCGTCAAGAGTCTCTTCCTTTGTCGCCCCTTGCAGCTTCGTGCGACACCCGCCTACCTGCTGCTGTGGCGGTCGAGGCAGAGCTTTTGTCGCAACGTGAGCGGCGGACACAGGGCGGGCCTTGGGACGCCAAGCGCGGTGGTGACGGCGTAGTGAACGGTGCAGGCGGACAAGGTGCTCGCTGCTCACGGTGCTCTTGGGAAAGAGAATGCATGATACCACGAGTGCACGACTGAATAATACTGGCTGGCCCACTCTAACCTGCAGCACAAGCCCAAAATCTTAATGCATGGATCGGTGGAGAACAGTCAAGAGGCTCTTCAGCAGGACATGGGATCCTAACGTTCCGGCTTGGGTATGCCATGGGCCATGGCATCTGACAATGATCTGATTGCCGTTCCGCGTCTCGTTACAGTATGTACAGGACACAGCTGTCCTCCTTGCTCCCCTTCGACTTTGCCGTGCCACCCAATCGCCGGTTGGCGAGAGCGCCATCCTTCTCGACGCCGACGCCGACGCCGACGCCGACCAAACAAGGTCGCACAACTAATCAAACCGCGCCCAATTTCACGACCACTACTCACTGATTATTGCTGGCATAGCAGTCAGTAGAACTAGATGCTCTCCGGCGAGCACCCCCACTGGACCAGCCAGCTCGTGGCCGACGCTCCTGAACCATTCGTTTGCTGTGAGGCGTGGCGTGGCGTTCGGTAACGAGCGCGCCAAGATGCACGCCATGCCAGGCCAGGCACGTGAATTCCGCAAAGGCACATGTATTTGGAAAAGTGGCCTTCTGTCGTTCATGCTTGGCTTCCGGCGGCGTCCTCGGTCGGCTACATCTCCTATACCCTACCGCTGCTGCGCCAGTGTCGTCCACGCTCTTGTCGGACAAGGGCGAGGTGTGGCGCAGATCTTGGGCGAAACTTGTTCCTGTCACCAGCGGCCTGTTATGGAGTCAGACATACATCTCGGCGCAGAGACGCACAGGCGAGTCCTGCTGTGCGCGCTCGCCGCTAGCTGCAAATGCCTGATCGCTGGGATCGATTAGTGTAGCCCTCACAAATGCATCACGCAATATCTGGACGCATGCCGATAGGCTTCCAACACCACATGCTAATTTCGAGCCGACAAGACTTCTTATTACGCGACGATCAAACGGTCTATTGCACTGTATGAGATGCGCACGCCTCAGCACGTGCCGTGGTACTTCATTGACGCATGCTGCATACAAAATTACTTCGGTATAATAAGCCTTTTCACTGAGTCGCACTGTCCCTGTCCGACCGCTTGTGGTTGCTGAACGACCTGCCTTCGCGGAGCACCACTGCGCCAGGGATACCGACAACTCTTGTGCCCTTGCGAATCGCATTGCCGGCATATCATGAATGTACAGCGCAGCATAGCCGCCTATCGTAGCCTCGAGACTCGAGTCCCCCGTCTGGGATGCAGATATCCGCTACCGCGAAGGCTTATTGCATAATTGCACGTGTAACGACTACCCGCAACGCTGTTCTACAAAGTATGGTGCGCATGATTCGGGCGACGTTAGCCCACAGGGCCCTTCATTTCGTCATGCTCTATCTGCTTTTCTTATCCTTTTCCGTGCCTTCCAAGTGACCATTCCCAACCGCTTGAGCTGATCTCTGCCGTGGTATTCTCCAGCTGGTCTCCCACCCGTATAGGGCGCCGCTCCCGAAGACCAACGTCGACCCAATAATCATCATTGTGTTCAACTTATGGCCAAAAATGATCGTGCTCAGGATAAATGAGACCAGCTTGCGAATGTTCAGCACAATGGTTACTGTCACAGCTGAGGACTTGGCAGAGAGCAAGTTCACTCCTGAGATGCAGACGAGTTGCGTGACCGCATTTGTGAACAAATAAAGTATGCCTTGTGGCATGCTTCCGAGCAGTGACAACACCACGAGGAGCATTTCGTTCGTGGCTGCAGAAGCCGTGCTCCTGCCCTGCTTTGCACCGAGCACGTAGCGTTCCACATTCATATGTGGCGTATCTGCGAGGCTTCGATATTGCTCGCGCAAGATGCCGCCAAGTGGTAGGAAAAGAGGCAGAGCAAAAAGATGCGAGTAGAAGAGGTTCTCCTTCCAACTGGCCTTGAACTGCGAATATGTGTCTTCTGTGTAAGCCCCCATGTAGGCAGACGCGAACTGGGCGACAAGCAGTATTCCCAGGCCCTGCACAAATTCAGAAGACGATGCGTCGCTTCCGACCGACATTTGTTTGCCCTTCCATAGATCAGCATTCTGGGGGTCAGAAAAGTCCAGGCGTAATTTTACCTTGCTCGCAGAATCTGCCCATGCACTGACCAGGACGCCAATGGTCAGCAGCACCACGCTGAAGACTTGCAATTTGCTGTATCGTTTGCCTCTGAGAAAGCCCGCGATCATCGTTGACACGCTGCCGAAGCTGCGAAGGATAATATGCACCGGCACACTGATGTTGTATGCGAATGCCCAGTTGTTCAGCATGTTGATGGCGTAGAACATGAAGGCGATGAAAGTCCATCGCGAGAACGGCACTTTGGGAGGGGCCAATGTGTACGGTGCTCCTGGTTGAACTTGGGTCGAGTAAGCCAGGCAAGTTACAAACACGAACTGGAAGAAAGTGATGATAAGGCCTGGAGAGCAATCAGGATGATGAAGCGAGGAAGGTTACATTGAGCATTTAGCATACCACTCTTCGGCTCGGTTCTGTGACAAGTCAGTGCTAATACGCGGTGCAGAACATTGAGTGCCTCCTACTTCACAATCGCTTCAAGGGCAAATACATTAGTACAGCAGCCACCGAAGATCAAGGCCGTGATGACCACAGGCTCCAAGCCTGCAGCCATATGTAGTTGTCGAGGTCTGAGTGACCGGTGATGCCAAGAGTGTTGTCGATGATGTCGCTGGGGTTCAGAAGAGGCAGCGTAAGGGCAAGGAGCATTGGCACGGCAGCGGAAGCCTGCCGAGAAAGCCAAGAGCCGCGCTGTGGCCTTCCATCCAACTTCGTCCACCACGAAGCCACTGCCACACTTCATCCGCACCGCATGCAGCGTGCGACATCGCACAGCTTCTGGAACAATCGTACAGTGTACACACCGTCAAAGTCATCGTGGAGCAAGTGCGCCGTCCTGCCCCAGCGAAAAACGTCCACTGCTGTGCAACCGGCTGTGACAGCGGCTGCCAAAACCAAGCAGATGCAAGGACACTGCTGGTCACCTTCGGCTTTCTTGGATAATCCCCGACAATGACTCGATTTTACAGCTGGAGACCGAACACAGAAGTCCTTGTCCTATGTCCTGACAATCAATGGCCATACTATTGGTCCATTTCCAGGCTCTGTGTTCGATATAGGACTCTACATAAGAGGTAAAAGCATCAGAGCAAATCGCCTGGCCGAAGCATCTTTAATGTCATAGAGCATGTCTGGACTCTGTAGCAAACACAAGATCTGAGAAAGACCAGTGCCCAACAATCTTGCGTTGTCGTTGGACGATGCTACCCTGACCTGACAAGATATGCTGAGTGCCACGCTTTGTCAATATCATGGCTTCCCGGGATCTGCTCCGAGTGTGCAGGTAGCCACTAGCCATGCCGCAGGCCTGTCAATACAAAGCATAACGCGCGAAATATTGTATCCCGGCGGGCTTTCTCAAGAACAACCAGGAATTCGAGATTGAAAACAATGCGTGGTCTACACGCAGTGATGAATGGACCACTTCGTCGTCTTTGATGTAGGCGATGCTCTAAATGTCCCATCCGGTATGCCTTTCGGCGAGCTGTAGAGAGCATCACACTACCTTTCAATACAGATGGCTAGCCGGATGCTCGGTGGACTCACATCATCCTTGGCAACTTTTCTCAGTCGTCCGCAGTCCGTATGAGGGCATCAGGTAAAATGACCAAATTCGGCTTGCAACGAGGAGACAAATAAGCATGAACCGTGACTATCCGTTCGGACCAGAGGAAGAAATGACAAGATAGAGCTACGTCCGTGCCGATCAACGACGCCATCGACAACAAATAGGCGTATATAGCCATGCCTTCCGTAATGATGACCACCCAGTGACCAAGAGAGTAAGGCACAGCCGGGATCAATCAAGCACATGGAAAATTCACGAGTCCACGCCATGGGCATGTGCCAAGTTCCGTCGCCAGGCAGACTCCGACAGAGCTCTACTGTCGCCACGCACTGTCACGTTGATGAATCGCAGAACATTCTCCGGCACCCCAAATTATTGGCAATCATACATTTAAGCTCCATTATTGCTTTCACTGCTCCGGCATCAATTCGGACAATTCCTCCACTGAACCTTGAATCGAACTTGCACAGGATCGCGGAAGTGCCGGCACAAAATTTACGCTTCCGATGCTACCAGTGCAATGTTGCCTGGCTCTCCTATGGCATCTTTGTCAATGGTAAGCGTCGGCCCCCCACAGCAACGTCGACCAGAGAACCTCACTGCACGCTACCATCATGCTGAGCGTCGTGTCGGCCACTTTCCTCTCACGATTGCTTCTAGATTGTTGAGCATTGCTACCGTGGAATGGCTTCCTAGCCGGACTGAATTGGGCAGTCTTCGACACGTCCTTGCTCGTCACTCGTCACTGGATCTGCTGCGCTTTGATCGGGGCTCATCTGGATGCTGTTTGCCAATCTTTCAGCGTGGAGGACAAAAGCCCCCAACGAGGACTAACGGTCCCGCACCGCAGTGCCAGGAACTCTGCCGTCTGCATTGGGGAGCAGCTTGCGCGAGATGTAGATGTAGCCGTCTTTACAGCGAGGCAGAGCATCACTTCTTCTATCACAACTCTTCCTGATAGTAGTACTCTTCTTCGCTACCCTCTTCTTCACCCCGCTCACGCTGTTTCTGCTCCTTTGCCTTCTTCTCCTTGGTCTGAGATCTCTTCGTAGATGTGTCACCCTGCTTACTAAGCCTTTTCTCTGTTTCTTTGTTCTTTCCTGCGCCCTTCACTGGCCTCGTATCTTCCGCATCTTCCTCATCATCGTTCGCCTCATCGTCTCCAAAATTGCCTTGTTCGACCTCATACTCATCGTCATCGCCGATTATGCCCCGATATTCTCGCCCCCTTGGCGTATCAATCACATCGAGCTTCCAGTCTTGTCCCTGGGCGATATTCTCGAGTTCCTTTCTTAACTTCTCGATTGCCTTTGGGTCGCCAAGACCAAGCTGCTCCATTTCTTCCTTGGTAAGCAGGCGTCCGTCCGAAGAGGCAACAGTATCCACGTATGTTTCCTTTCCTCCTCCGACGATAATGCCCTTCTCCAGCTTAATGCCGTCTGGCACTAGCCGACGTTCTCCAACAAAGATATCACCAACCATAGGTTCCAATTCTTGAGCAGCAGCATCGTCACCCAAAGCTGCTGCAGCTTCTTGAGTGGCTTCCCATAGCTTTGCTTCCTGCTCAGCAGAGATCAAGGCTTTCAGGTTGCGCTCGTAGTCTTCGATCTGGTCATCTTTGAGGATCGGAGAGCATGTGATGGTGTTGGCTTGATCTTTCTGTGGGGGCAGAAATGCTACATCATTGCACAGACGTGGTGTTTGGATGACCATGAGGTAGGCACATGTGCTAGTCTCTTTGATCAAGGAGATGCGGTCCGAGGATTGAGGATTGCAGTGGAACTATACCAAGTCAGTATGCTGTTCTCGAATGCAATTTGCTCTATCGCTCACCTGTATTTCGATTTTCCTCTCTTTGCCAGTAATGTCGCAGATTGTGCCTCCGCCAAGCTTCTGCACCAGATACCTGCTCTCGCCCCGCTGCACCAGCACACCATGCTTGCTATACCTTCGCTTGGCCCCTTCACTCACATCCAGCGCGCTTTGATCCCACTTCTCCTCGTTCGTAGTATCATCGTCATCTATGCGCTTTTCATATGTTCCCAGCATGTAGCCTGGGACGCCGGGATCCTCGATTGGTGGATACACAGGCACACCACGACTCGGAGGCAGCTGATGGAATTGCCTGACGCCTTGGTTGTGGCAAAATTGATAGCTCCACCAACCACTGATGAAGTAGACACAGTTGCCTTGCATAGCTGAGATCAGTTCCCATCCTCGCTCGTTCGCGCGGGCGAGCTCCTTTTCTTCTTCGGCCCTGGACAATGTGTCGTTGACACCCGCGCTCGGTTCAAGCTTTTTGACCAGAGGTATTCGACAGAGCCATGGCTGACCGTCGATTATCATTCGCTCATACTCTGCCTCTTCTGGTTCCTCCGAGCGTGCATCTTCGCCTGTTGCAAGCGGCTTTTGATATTGCTGCACGTCTTGCTGCGCTTCTTCCGGTTGTCGACGATTGCCCGCTAATCGAGATTGCGCTTCTTGTTCGCCGATCCAGTCATCAAGGAATTTGACGTCGTATTGTGGAAAGGCAAGCAGGTCGTCTTGCACGCTGAATGTGTTCGGAGATGCCGAAGCCAGCAGTGCTGCTATGCGAAGAATCGCAGGCAGCGCGAAGAAGTGCTTCATTATGGAATTGTTCAAGACGTCAGTCTATCGCAATATCATCATGTTTATCTGCGCTGAGAAGTTGTTGTGGGTTGTTTGTTGCGACGTGTCCGTTAGCTGAACGAGATCCAACTTGCAAGCAGCTCGACGTCGGTCGGACCAGTTCCAGGGGCCGACGCCTGCACAGGAAATGACCCTCACACACACATCAACACTATCACTCTGCACTCCTCCAGAGCGCATCTCACTCCACAGAGCAGAACACGAACATGTCATTAGGGCTGTTGAATACAGAGCGTCTTCATGGGTAGTGTAAATGACAAGAAACTCGAGCCTCATGGCTCACTCGGGTATGTATGTTGGTATGTGTTCTGCTACCACTGATCTTCCTGGTATATCTCGACCGACGCGGCCTCGACGAAATTTTCATCCAATCATCTAGTCGTCTGAATTGGGATAGTTGTTCTTGCCAACAGGATTTGCAGGGCCGCCTCGCTGGCCTAGAATTCCGCCAACATCCACTTCCTCTTGCTTTTGTTCCTTTATCGACTGCCGAGCTGGTGCCTGCTCGGCCTTCTTACGCTCAAGATCTGATTCGAAACCAGGCTGGCTACCAGACGCACCGGGCTTGTTCTTCACTGCGGCGTACACTTTGCCCTCGCCAGGAGCACCCATCTGTTCGGCATCAAGCTCTTGACTATCATAACTGGCTTGCGTGTAGCCCTTGGTCTCTTCGCCTGGAGGTGCTCCATGAATGCCTCGACCCAGTGATGTCGGCACAGCCTTGTCAAAGCCTACCTCGCCTTCGTTGGCTCCTCGGCGTGCTCTGAGAAGTTCGTTTTAGCGATGTGGTCCTACAACGTACAGAAATGCTTCCAGACGTACATGGCATTGTCATCATCCATCTGGGCATTTTGCTGTGCTCGTGAAGCCTCAACAGGCTCCTTCTGTGTAGGATTGCCAGCGGTCTCATAAGCAGCATTTGGTCCTGGATGTGAGGGACCGCTTGGGTGAATGCCGTCACTCATGTTTGCAATTTGGGATTGACTTTGATATGCTTGGCGGGTTATTGATCCTTTCGTCTCCCAACGATCTCGAATAACGTAATGATTATCCCTCCGAGCTGGTTTGTGTCTTTCAAGAAGTCAACAATGAGTCTAGCATAATAATAAATGTCTCCCACTTTCGCGTGTAATGCTAGTGGGGCCCTTTACCCTTAAATATGCGCGTCATGACATCGTCAGATCAAGCTCGCGTCTGTCTCTGCACACATCGACAGAGCATCTCAATACTGCGACTTAACATGAACTCTACCTCTGAAGAGCTTCGAACTCTAAAGCTGTACTTCACACTTCAACCTTGAGTATCAGTGACGGAATTACCGACAAGATGTCCGCCAATGCATCGCGAAAGGAGACCTTGGGCAAAGTGTTCAAGATGATCCCACCAATGCTCGAGAAGTTCCATAAAGGTCGGTCTGCTTAGATGTGCATCTACCCATAGCACACTAAGGCTGTGATTTGTAGGTCAGCTAGGCCGAGTAGCAGTCATTGGAGGCAGCGAGGATTACACTGGAGCGCCGTACTTCTCAGCAATGGCTTCCGCAAAGCTCGGGGCAGACATGGTAAGCTATGCAGAGGGAAGAGAGAACAAAATTTGGTGCTGAATTGACTCTGGCACATAGTCCCACGTTATATGCGAGCCAGGTGCAGGTGCTGTGATCAAGACCTACTCGCCGAACCTCATGGTACATCCATACCTGCGCCAGCAGAAGAATCTGGCTCCGAACGAATCGATAGACAGCGTTTCAGAACAGGTGATAGCCATGCTGGATCGATTACACGTCGTGGTCATTGGGCCAGGGCTTGGTCGAGATCCCGCTATGCAGGAGACGTGTGCTCGAGTCATCACTGAAGCAAAGAAACGAAAAATTTCCTTCGTCCTCGACGCCGATGGCCTTTACCTCGCGCAGACCAGACCAGAGCTTGTACAGGGATACAAAGAATGCATCTTGACGCCCAATGTGGTGGAGTTTGGTCGATTAGCAAAGAGCAAGGATATCGATACAAGTAAAGAAGAGCCGGCGAAGGTCTGCGAAAAGCTTGCTACCGCCTTCGGTGGGGTCACGATCATTCAAAAGGGCAAGGTGGACTACATCTCAAACGGCAAGCAGACTCTCATATCAGATGGGGAAGGCGGTCTGAAGCGATCTGGTGGCCAAGGCGACACTCTTACTGGATCGTTGGCGACGCTCCTGGCTTACAGGAAGGCATATCATGACAAGATATGGGACCATGACGGCGACCTGAAGGAGGACGAGACGCTAGCTCTCGCGGCATACGGCGGCTCTGCTATCACCCGAGAATGTTCAAGACTCGCATTCAAAGAGAAAGGACGAAGCCTACAAGCTTCCGACTTGACCGAGCATGTGCACAGCGCATTCTTGCACATCATTGGCGAGAAGCCTACAGACGAGGCCAAGCTATGAGAAATGAATGACGACGTCTCAATGTAAAATAGGACGACGAAGCATAGCGAGGGGTTTGAGGAGAACAGGACACAACAGAAATGTACCAAACATCATTATCGAACATCGACCCAGCTGATTGTATAACTAACTGCTCACATACGATCTTTCAAAATCAACATCTATCCCACCTGGCCCACCAACAACTCACAGAATACCAAAAAGTCCCAGTAAACAACATCCCAGTCTCCTAATCCCTCCACACTCCTCCCACATTATCCCAACCCAATGGCACTGCGTCACCCGACTCAGAAATCATAGTCCTAATCAACGGCCTTGCAGACTCGCAACAAACCTGGGCAGCTCGAAACGCCAGCCTTCCTGACAGCAGCAGGCTTTCCTCAAGTCCTGATAACCTACGACAACCAAGGCATAGGCCAAACCTCATCCCCCACCAGGACCCCTACACATCCGAACTCCAGACCTAGCCTCAGATCTATATTATCTTCCTCCAGGCGTTGCAAAATCGAAAATCAAAAAAGGCACAATATTTCCTTCTACTTACCTGATATAGGCGAAATGCCGCTCGCTCGACATAATATCAAGTAAACCATCGGAGCAGATTGAAGGGTCACAGTTCAAGACGGTCAAAGGAGGGCATGGCTGTTTGTGGGAGTTTTCTGAAATTATCAACAGGAAAATGCATCACGCGTTTTGTCTAATTATTGCGGACTTCATCATGTATTGGGTATCGGCGCAGTCATTACTGGACTCATGCATATGCTATGCATTCACTTGCCAACAGATTCATCCAATGGCGCTGACAGCGATCATTATTGAGTCACGCCTGAATCCATCTTGCGGATACATCGCCCTTTGCTAATCACGACGAATCATCTGGGATGTATTTCTTGCTCACGACGCTGAGGCTGAGTCTGTGGGCCAAGGGTATCGGTATCTTCTGCTTGGTCTCCTAGCCGAGCTTAGAAGTATCGTCCTCATCCTCGAAGAAGGAGAGAATGGCCCGAACACCTGCAGGTCCAAGACCATGTGGTGGGTAACAAACTGTTCAGAAGTTAGCACATCACACGTCCATGAATGTAAGTAATGGCAAAGAATAACTCACCAAAAATTGGGTCGTCTTGAGCGCCCAGCTTCTCTCGGAATTCCGACTTGTTCGTCAACTTGAGCTCTGTTGCAATTGCGTGGTATGCCTTCGCCAGCACCTTCACTCGGGTGCCCTTGAGGTTGTGACCAGGCGTAAGCTTAGCAGTGGCACCACCACCGAACGTGACCGATGTAGCGCCTGTTTGACCAGCAGCCTTGAGAGCGTGAAGCACGAGCAGTTCAATAGCACCAGAAGGCGCGCCAGGGAAGTCAAGAGCGAACTTGACTTGCCAGCCGTGGTCGGGCGAGAGTTGGGCAAGGATGACAAGGCCGCAAATTTGTCCGTCCTTGGTAGTCGTGTAATGGTACTGCCTGTGCTCCACATCTTGCCAAGGATGCACATCTGTCAGATGCACCTGCTTGCCCTTACGATTCTTCAACCAGTCCTGGATACGTGCATCAATCTTCTCCTTGACATCATCTGGCACAGGTGTGCCGAGCGGAATGTCATGAACCTTGACGCCCTCCTTCTCAGCGTGACGGCACTTGCGCTGTATCTCTGGATCGTGCGCAGCTGGGTTGTTGTTGGGGTCGAGACGTTGCTCAGCGGCGACGGACAGCGTTCGCCAATCGAACTTGTTGGCAAGGACTTCTTCTGCTGCCGAACCGCAAAGCAGCCACAATGGCTTCAGTCGGCGATCTTTCTTGATATAGCGCAGGTAGCCACCAATGGTCTTGGTATATTGACTCTGGTGACAAAGCGGATCTCCAATGGTGATGGCGAAGCCCTCGTGAGGAACGAATCCTACAGCGGCACCAGTGTGTGGGTCTCGCCAATGTTCGAACTTCGGCTCTAGCCAGGAAGTGTTTGATGCATCTCCATAGTTGGCGATGAGCTTCTCGATGGGTTGGAAGTCCATGTGCGCGGCTGCACGGTCCTGGCCAGACCACGGCGGGTGCAGTGTGCTCGCTTCTGGATGTCTGAGCTGCTTGACAGGAGGCTTGTATGGCAGCGACTTGGGATCTCTCGGGAAGAGCGAAGCGTTGCGGATGTCTCCCAGCTTAAGCAGAAGCATGAGAATACGCTCCATGCCGATACCTCCGCCTCCGTGAGGTGGAGCACCCCATTCGAAGCCGGTCATGTACTCCTCGAGCGTTCTCGGGTCCATTTTCAGGGCCTCCATCTTCTTTACGAGCGTTGGTGCATCGTGAATACGCTGCCCACCAGAGAGAATCTCTTGTCCACGAAGGAAGATATCGAACGAGTTCGTCACCTCCGGATTGTATGGGTCAGGCATGGCATAGAACGGTCGTGCGGATGTCGGGAACTTGTCGATCACGTAGTAATCGGTCTTGTACTTCTCCTTGATAACAGCACCAAGTGCAATTTCATCGCGCGTTCCCATGTCCTCGTTTTCGGGAACTTCATTGCCGTTCTCGTCGCGGTATCCAGATGCATTGAGAAGACGAATGGCCTCGGCGAACGGAATGACTGGGGTCTCATCGAGCCAAACCAGATCGTCATGAGGAAACTGGTGCTTGACCACTTTGATGTCCTCCTTGTAGTTGTCGTAAACGTACTTGAAAATGGCCTTGAACGTGCTATCAAGCACACGAAGCACTTCGTGATAATGCTCGTCAATGGCCATTTCCAAATCCAAGCCCGTAAACTCAGTCAAGTGTCGGTGGGTGTTGCTGTTTTCAGCTCGGAAAACTGGACCAATCTCGAAAACTCTGCGGAAGTCGGCTGCAATGGCCATTTGCTTGCCGAGCTGAGGAGACTGAGCAAGGAAAGCTGGACGACCAAAGTAGTCCACTTTAAAGACACTGGCGCCAGATTCGGAGGCAGCTCCTTGCAGTTTGGGAGTGTGGATCTCAATGAAGCCGATGGAATGCAAGTGAGCACGGAAAGCCTGGCAAACACCGCTCTGGATGCGGAAAATGCCCTGGGAAGTGGTGGTCCTCAAGTCAATGATTCGGTTGTGCTGACGAGCCCTGTCAGACACGCGATGGCGAGTGTCACCCTCCTTCTCGGTATCAGCCCTGGAGACTTCAGCCTCGTGTACAGTGAAGGCCAGCGGCTCGCTTGGCGTGGCCTCAACATGCATCTCATGGATGTGAACCTCAAGATTATGGATAGAAACACCGATGATCTCTCCCTGCTTGGATTTCGGCTCCTGTACCACTGCCTGAACAACGACAACAGTCTCGACGTGCAGATGCTCGGCCCAGTACAGGAAGTGCTGTGACACACTGCCATGCTCGTGTAGAATGCCCTGGATGGTGGCTGTCTGCTGCCGAAGTTCGACGAACATCAGATGAGCACTGAGCTTCCTCATGTTGTGTATACGTGCTCGGAAGCACACCATTTTGCCAATGTGCTCCGGCGTGAGCTCTCGGATGTCCATGCGGTCTATGTGCTTCTGCTGGCCTGCATAGTAATTGATGGGGAGCGTGCCGTACTTGGCCTTCTGCTCGTCGGTCTCTTCTTCGGCAGCCTTGCGCTCCATGTCCTCCTTGCGTTTGCGATCGGCTTCCAGGCGCTCTTCGGCCTCCTTCTTGTGCTTTTCCTTCTCGGCCTGCCTTTCGTGCTTGCGCTGCTGGTTGCGACTGAGGCTCTCGGCGTCCCTGTTGAGCGGCAGGTCTTCGGTGGAGGAGTGTGAATCGTCGGAACCTGGGCGGATCTTCTTCCTCAAAAAGTTCAGCGGACTATGCGAACGAGGGTATTCCTTGGAGGCTCTGGATGGCGAAGGTGAAGCCGGTGAGGCAATCTTGTCTCTAGTGGAATCGGTCGAGTGTCTGCCAAAAGGAATGCCATTCGACAAGGACGAGAATCCGGTGCGGGAGCGGCCCTCTCGCGCTGGAGCAGGACTCTCGTGCTTGCTTTCATTGTCGCTGGTGGCAGCCGAGTTGGAGCCACTTCTTGGGCGGATGCTGTTCAATGCCTTCTTCAAAGACATGGTGGGCAGAAGGCGATTGGATATGTTGCTCTGAGATGGTCAGGATGCTAGTGATGTGGGTGGTCGGCGAGGATGCACGCAGTGCTGTTGGAATAGAGCGCAGACGGCGTCTTTTCCCAAGGGCAGGCGTGCAGTGGTGGTGGTGGTGCAGAACAGAGCAGAGGAGGATGTGTTCGGAAGGGGATGGGGTGGGTGGTATATGGCGAGGACGGTAAGGCACCGCCAGGCTTTGGTTCGCAGCGTAGCCCTAGTAGTGTCTGCGGAGCTGCAGCTGAAGGTTAGTGTGCGGTAGAAGAGTAGGGCATAGGGTAGGGAGCACCTGCAATGGATTATGGAGGTACGTCACGCTGCTGGCCAATTGGGAGGGATCAGACGCGGAAGCTTCGGCGCAGCTCAAGCGGATGCTGTACGGGTGTGTGATGATTGTCGGTGGCGGGTTTGCTGGGGACACGCTGTCGCTGCTTCCTGATGACCGGTCTGCCGTCTGCCGTCTGCCGTCCGCCGTCCGCCGTCCGCCGTCCGCCTGTGCCAATGCTATGTTGCTTGGATCAGCTTGTCTGCGCTGCTGCTGCTGCTGCTGCTGCTGCTGCTGTGGCTGTCGCTGTGGCTGTGGCTGTTTCGTCCGTACCAACGCTTGACCTGACTACTCCCTACTGCAGACAGACAGCTGCTGGTAGAAGTGGCACAAGTGGCCCTGCTGGCCGCTGACCAAATGATTATGCCATGATGATGAGTTAAGTAGCGCGCTCCACCCCATGCACGCACGCACGCGCCACGATCAAAGCGAGAGATAGCATGCAGCTGGGATGTTCGGTCTGCTTCCGTCAACCAGACGTCATCCCTCGCCATTTCGAGGCTCTCGGCGCTCGCGTCTCCAGCTGTGCGGCCTACGCGAAAATCCGGAGCCGAACACACAATGACAAGCTTCGCGCTTTCTGTCGGTGAAGCTTCGCGCATCATCACACCACATGCCAGAGAATGCCATGCCATGCCAGCACCTCGGAAGCATCACGCCCCTGCCTCGGGCTTCCTGTGATGAGCTTGGCTCTGATCGCTGTGTGATGGAGCAGAGAAGTGAGTATGGTAGGGGTATATACTGCAATGATATATTCACTTCGCTGTTTGCTTCTTGCAACTGCGCCATCTCGTCAAACCCTCCCAACTCCTCGCTCTCCCCGTTCCATGCTTGTCATTGCCTTCGTTTGATGCATAGTCCATGCCACCCATACATCACATCATGGTAGTACTGCCACCAGGAGTACTGCCTGCAGCCCCCATAAATGCATTACCGTTAACCCCACTATTCTGCTGTTGCGCCTGTTGCTCCGAAGTCAAGTCGACGTTCATCGGCCACATTTGACCGGCGTCCATCCCAGCTGCATTAGTGCCCTGGATGTAAGAGTCCCAAGCGCCCTGTGAAGCTGTCAGCTGCTGATTCAGCATTTGCTAAGAACATGCATGAACCCTACCCAATCAATGTCGCCTGCCATTCCCTCCATACCCATGAAACTATTCTGTCCAAGCATTTGGCTCATCATAGGACTTGCTGCTCCCGTCAAATGGCTCGCTTCCGCGCCAGAATGTTGTGGTGTCAGACCAGTCCGCTCAGCCATTGGCTCATTGAGAAGGCCTGCCATGCTCGCTGGATACGAAGCATTCGCAGGTGCAGACATCGCTTGCGACATGTTCATGCCGAATCCGCCTCCGGGCGACAGGCCACCGGAAGAGAGCATGCCGAGAGTCATGGCCGCAGACTGCTCGGGCGGGAGGTCGTCTGTATTCACGTCGGCGACTGACCCGTTAGGAAACATGCCAAAATTCACCCCGCGCTTGGGGTAAGCTGGCACTTGTTGCTGCTGCGCGTAGGAGGGCATTGATCTCTGGTGGCTCTGATGCGCTTTGAGCTTCTCCACCATAATTCGCAGCGCCACTGAGCCCTTATAAGCCTCCATGCTCTGATCGCGCACGGCCTCCCAAATCGTTATACAATGCTCCACTGCCTGCATCATCTGCTCTCGCCGACCTTCGTCGTAGAGTTCAGGTACCAGAGGCGAGGCTGCCTGGCTGCTCTTTCGACCTGTGCGTTCACACTCTGCCGTGTGGTAGAGGTCTAGGCACACTAGCATCGCGGCAAGCAAGAAGTCGTGCGTAGTCATGGAGCTGATGTACCACTTCACAGAACGCAAACGCCCACCCGGCTGTGATTCGCGGTGCAGCGTCGCTTGATGGTCTAAAAGTTCCATAGAAGCATCCAAGCACGTCCGCCGCGAATACGCGTATCGTGCATTCTCCCGCCCTCGTGCAATGAAACGTCGATGAAGGACGAAGAGCGAGCGCAGATACACCATTTCCAGACCCAGGCGCTGCATGATCAGATTTGCCGGATCTCGAGCAGACTCTTGGAAGGAGCGCATCTGTAGCAGTGGAGGATGCTGACTTCTGGCCTCACGCAGATCTGCATCGAACTTCAACGTCTCCTCATAGGATGGCGCGTTCGTCACAGACTGCGACCGCTCCACGATCTGACCAAAGAGGAAAGTCATCTTCGCTTTGGTAATCATATATGACATCGGCGTCGCTTCAAACGTCGGTCGAGAAGGGGGCAAACTCGTCATGTCTTCATACAACTCGTCATCGTAAAGATTTCGAGGCGTTTCCGTGTCAATGTGGTCTGTCCGGATCATCGCAGGAAGCCCGAATTGGAACGATATCAATAGATCGCACTGTCGTACGAACGTCCAAACGCGTCGCCGAATCTCGCCTTGAAAAGGTGTGATGGCAGGGTGTGGTCCTGGATCTCTGTGATAACCCATCCGCATGGCCAGCCTAGCACATAAGCCTGTTAGTAGCAATACACCAGGCTCGGCGTCTCTACTTCGTCCATATTCTGCTTGTACGTGGAGCACTAAAGTTTCCAGGGTCTGTGGATTGGCCTGCGTGATATCTCCTAACAGCAAGCATTGCGCGGTGAGCCTGCGATAAGTGTGGGATAGTTCTAACGTTCGACCTCGATACTCGGGCGGCTCATCGCCTGCTCTGTGATACGACTGTAATGCCAGAGTCATCATAGCATAGCAGAGGCCGAACCAGACCACAGAAGTTTCTGTCGGATTTAGCCAATGCTTGTCGTATTGCTTCTGAAATGACGGGCCGTGTATGATGTGGACAGATGGGTCGTACGCATTGAAATATCGCGCAATCAGTCGATCAGCATCTGACTTTGATGGATACGCCGCAAGAAGTTCATTCTTGTCCTTGGCTGGTGGGCCCTGTAACAGAAAAGCAGTTCCGGGACTTTCATCTGCTTTCGCAGCTTGCACCTTTGCCATGTGTTGCTTATAATCTTCCTTGTGGCTTTCAAAGTACTTCTTGACTTCGCTGATCTCGCCCAAGATCGCATACCAGTGCGCGTCTGAAGCAAAAATAGCCTTTCCGTTGTCCATTTTCATGATGCCGATCCCTCGTGAGATGCCTTCGACCTCGCTTTCATCTTCACCCTCCCCCTCCTCTCGTATCATGTCCGCACCGCCTGCATCAAGCCTGAGATTTGAGCTTGTGCTAAGGCTATTGCTCCGACTGTTCGCAATGGCTGCCTGCGCAGCGGCTGTAGTTGCAGGCTGCTGGCCAGTAGTCATTAGCGAAAGCACAAGTCCTTCCAAGCGATCAATGCGATTCTGCATGTCGTCTGGAGAGGCATTGGGTCCATTGGAGCCGCCTTTCTTCCGGTTTCCTGGAGTCGCATAGCTGCAAGCTGCAGTATCACCGCGCTTCGAGCAGTTGTCACAAGGGTGCCCTCTGTTGCACTTCAGCTTGCGATGTCTGCATGGAGCACATGACAAAGGAATGCGATTGCGCTTTCGCACAACGCGAAACGGCTGGCCATCTGGAGAGGCGCCATTGTTGGACGAGGTCGACGACGGAGGCGTGGGCTGGTTATTAGCACTGTGCGCCATGGTCGTTCCTTGAAGGTTACGCAGACGTTGGACCAGCGCAGCGCAAGCAGGCTGAATGCGCCGCGCTGCAAGTCAGAGGAAGCTGCGATCGATTCCGACTCAGCGACCAGGATTCGAAGTTGCGTGTTGTTGGCGCTCGTGTCTACGGCAATTCAGAGCAGCGACAGAGCTGGATAGTAGGGCGCTCGTGCAGATTTGCTCAGTCGTCGGTCGATGCGGCCGCAAAGAATCGCGGTGTCTCGAATGATGCTGTTTCCGACCGCACTATGCCCGTGCCTGTGCCTGTGACACTGCTTGAAAGTGTGCGCTGCGCAGCTTCGGCCAGCGTAGCACGGCGATTGACACAGAAGGCTCAGAGGCAGCAGCACGATGGACGGTGTTGTAACGGAGAGACGAGACAAGCAGCTGGTGTACGCTTGTCTCATCCATGCAACTCTTGGCGAGCGTCGATCACCACCCTTGCAAGTTGAAGCGGCGCGGCGCGGCGCGGCTGACGGCGAATCCTCGAGGCAGCGCAACACCCAATTGCTGTGCTTCACAGCGCGGCAGCGAGTGAGTCACAGACGAGAGCAGCAGGGGCAACACGCAATGTGTAAGCATGCTAGCCGCGTGCAGTGTAGTGCAGCTTAAAGGAAGGCACATGTACGGTCATCGGTGGTGTCGAAGAGGAGTTAAGGCGGTTAAAGTCCGCTGGGCACTGTCAATCAAAATATCCCGCGTCTGCTCGGTCTCAGAAACAAGAGTGGTCTTCAGGGCAGGCTCGTTCATCGAAGCACCTTCAACACAATGCACATTTGTCAACTCTCGTGGGTGCATGCTCCGGAGAGAAGCAAGAATAAGTCATCAATCAAATTCAAAGTCTGTGCCCGCTCGCAACGCCATCCGCTATGCAACCATCATACTCTATCTTCTATCATGCAACGAGAGCTCTGCGACTATCCAAAGCTCTTCCTCAAGCCTTCATAAATCGTGAATATTAGTGCGGAGCTGGGAGCGCTTCTTGCGACGGTAATGCCGCAGCCTCGATAAAGACCTTTCAGACCATGTGCAGCGTATAGCTCTCGCCCGACGGCAGTGAATATTGGCCGCACGTTGGTCAACTCCCCAGTCTGAATCTTGCTCTTGATTGTGTCCGCAGGAAAGAACATGAAGTTATAGGCCATGCCCGCGATGGCTCCAGACACCATGGACTGCCACACCGCTATGCCGTCTGCCTTGGTATCTTTTGACTGCGACTTAAAATATGACGACAGTGTCTCGTAGCTGCCGAACCATGCAGCACCGCCTCCTGTCTCTCTGAGAAAAGTGCCGAGTTGTCCACGCCAGAAACCTTTCAATCCTTCTCTTCTGTAGATTTCTGACATTACAGCCAGAGGACCCAGGGATTTCGTCGCGAGCCCAGCTCGTGGGCCGAGTCCTGGGTCAACAACCGACTGCAGAGGAACCTGCATCCTGCACTTCACCAGCTCGATTGGAGTCAGAACGAGTGATGTTATGCCCCCGGATATGGCTCCGGCTGTCACTAGACCACCGAGTGGCAGCTTGTCTCCAGTGTGGTGTGACAACACCGTCACCTTAAGCAAGTCTTGTGCTAAACGGTATGCCAGGAACAGAGACGCATTCTCGGCGGCTGCACCGACCAACGGTGCGCTAATCCCACGATAGAGGCTGCGAAATCCGTCTTCGGCAAAGCTTTGTTTGAAGCACTCAAGTGGTCCAGTATAACGTAGAGGCAAGTGGTCAGGTTGAGACTGAAGCCGAACTTTGACTGTATCGAATGGGTACTCAACGAACTTGCCGACTATGCCAGCAATTGATCCGTAGGTGATATCTTTGATGGCCTCGATTCCTTGGTCTGCTGCTTGCACAGCGGCGGGCGTAGACTCAGTCGCAGCGGCCATTGACTGAGATTCGAACGAGTTCGTCGTTCTGGTTTCCATGAGGGATTTTCTGTTCACTCACTGTCCGCGCGCTGGCCCTCGCCCACAACAGGCGTTGCAATGTGGTAGATGTGTGCTATCGTTCGAGCATGTTAGGCGACCTAGAGAGAGGTGCTCGAGTAGAGAGGCGAGAGAAAAACGTGTGCAAGGTCGGGCAGACCGCTCGATCAAGAATGTCCCGCACGGTGTGAGTCTTGTTGGAGCGTTGGCGCGGGCGGTGGAACAAAATGGCGCGTAATCTAATCAGATTTTGCGGATCAGGGTACGGCGCAAACTTGGAAATCTTACGAAAGCAACCTTGAAGGGCTGCATCTCCGGCGTTCGACTGGCAATTTTGGCTGTTCCCACACTCAGACTCTTCTGGATCACTGCTAGCTGCTGGAACTCGCGTGAGAGCATATTGAGGATGTCCGCCACGCAGGCCAGCGGCATGCGCGTCAACGGCAAGCAGTGGCATCAGCCACGTAACGCCTTTCGACCAGCTGCTGGTCAGACGAGCTACGCAAAACGGGTGGCCAGAGAGTCAAAGGCGGCAGAGATCAAGAAGGTGGAGAAGGAGATGAAGACGGCAAAGGAGGAAGAGCGACAAGTATGTGGTTACAACGGATCGCCTCAAGCACTATCTCGCAGAGCGTACTGACTGATTCGTAGCGCCATGTCCAAGCAATCAAAGACCGCCGCGCTGCAAAGGAAGAGAAGGAACGATATCAGCAGATGGCCGAAAAGATGCACAAGAAGCGCGTCGAACGACTGAAGCGTCGTGAGAAGCGCAACAAGCTACTGAAGTCATGAGGAACCTGCGCGAGCAGTGACATTCAGTGTCACAAACACGTCAAAATCAGAATGGCCTGAGAAAAACCTATACTCGGCTTGAAAATTCATTCAACAGTGCATTCGACTCCTACTCAGCATAGTCTCCACCGCCGAGTGGGCACTTCCCTAGGCTGCGCAGTCTTGACCTGACGGGAGGCTTCAAAACGATGGAGAGTGACCACTGTTATCAAGAGAGACATCAAGCCTGGGAGATGTTTGGCCAGCCTATCTAGCGTTGGCCAAATTGTACGCCGGCTTCAGTGGTTTTTCTTCGTGACAGGATCATCAGTGCTTTGCCCGGCTGGCAATGGGTTTCGTCGGGTTGGGCACATCTTGGGGTAAAGAATGGTATTGTCCGGTTGATCAGGAGAAGGATCGGTCCCACATGAATCCGAGCAGAGATATTCTCCGTCTCGCAGTAATGTAGCGATGGTTTAGGATAGGCGGGAGATGCCATAGATACATGTATCTCAAAAGAAGACCATGACTAGCAGCAAGCGGCATGCTTGCTCTCTTCACACTTGCAGCTTTCACCCAACAAGTGCATGGTATAATTTATTTGACTTTCTTGTCTCCACTGCACCTCAATCTCCGTCAAGCATTGTCTTCTCTGCGCATACGACAGCACCGAAAATATTGCTACAGCATGGCTCGCGGCATATTCATCACGCGCAGAACCAGGAAGCGCCGCGCAAGCGAGATTCGAAAGGCGCCATCATCCATTCTTGCAAGATTGGAACGTCACGCTTGTCGCACCATGGTCCATGGCGCAGCCTCGCCGAGCCTCGCCGACGACGACATGCAATTGACAATGCGCCTTCCACCGCCAGCTCGCTCTCGGTGCAGGCGATGTGGCTGCCGGCAGCAGAAGGACACGAGATAGCAGCAGCGGATGTTCGAGGCCTCTCTGACCGCACATCTGTCGGGCCGTAGTGTATGCAACGAACGTGAACGACGCCCTGCCGAGCCGATTTCTTGTGCAACATCCATGTCCGGCGAGGACCAGACTTGCTTTCGGTACGCGGCAACACTCTGGTTCGTTCGCATCGCGTTTCATTCAACCAGGCCTATCTACACCCAATGCCCTCGAAAAACGTCCGACTGGATCGTTCACGTACGTGAAGCTACAGTGCCATGCCATGCCATGCTACACGAGTCGCATTTGAGCTCGGCATCTCCTCGACATCCGCCACTAGTCCTCTCTGTAACCTTCTTCTGGAAATAGAGCGACACAAACTTCCAGGCTAGACCCAGCGTATCGTCTGCACGAGGAGGGAGTGTCACAATCCTCAGCAGTACGCCGGGCTCGAATGCAACGCACGATTCACTGCCTGGCAAGTGCGACTCAAGGCCTCGAGAGATCAGCCGCCACGCAGACGAAGCACACTTGCCCATTCAGGTCCTCAGGAATAATCTCGATGCACTACTACATACGGAGACTAGTGCACGGCTCACGAAGCAAGAGAGTTCAGAACCATCTCGCGGAGTGCACAGCGCGATCCTCGCTGTACTCCATATTCATCGTAGTGGCGCCAACGGATGTGGTAGACGATGTACTAGTAGTAACGGCCTAACGGGCCCGATCAAAGTGCAACTTACGAGTTCGACCCTCCCAAGTAAGATATCCTACGACAGCTCTCTCTCAGCTCTCTCAGCTCTTCGCAACCTCCTACCTTTTCTCTGTGCTCCATCCCCATATCTCCTCGGGCTACACTTTTGACTCCTCAGTGACTGGTGCCAATTGACAGTCGAGGTGGTTGGCAAAGAAGCAGAGCAAAATGGGTCTTGTAGCCTGGCTACAGTCTCTACGCGGCAAAGCCAGGGAAAACACCAGCCCTGTCTCCACTTCATATCAACGAAACAACGAGACAAGATCAAGCACGCAATGGAGGAGCGGTGCAGAACGACGAACTCCAACTCCTACACAAGCTCAGTATGACGCCGAAGTGACATCGCAGAAAGCTCGTCGAAGAAGTAGAGGTATAAGCTTATCTCGGCCAAAGTCCCTACATAACAGCAAGAATCGGCGAAGCTGGTTTGGTGGAAAGCCTGGTGAGAATGAGGATATCCCTATGGTGCCAAGGCTGGTAAGCATGGGCGACCAGCGACATCAGCAAAATGCTGGACGAAGAGAAGTAGGCGTTGCTGCACTTCCAATGCCATCAGACGGCAGAAATCCACGGCCGATCATCAGTCGAGCCTACAGCCGCAAGGAGGACGAACCGACGGCTGGTGAGCGGGAGCTAAGGAGAAGGCCTTCGTGGTTCAATAACAGAACGACCGTGGAGGCCCTTCCAGCCCTGCCAGCTGCCGTTCCAATCAGTGTACCAATACCATCCAAGCAATCCACATCGACGCTCCCAGCAGACAAACGGCGAAGTCGAGCTGCATCAATCAAATCAGTCAACAGCACTAGGTCAAGGAAGAAGCGTTCTTCCTTCTGGGCTTCGTCCAATCCTGATGACGAATCAGAATCTGATGTTCCTCCTGTGCCGGCCCTCGTTCGCGGAGCCTCAACAGAGTCGAGTTGTAATGAGTTCTCAGATGCCAGCGATGACCGCCGCAGGACTGTGCGCAAATCGACAAACGGCGAAGACGCCAAGCAGCGACCACTCAGTACCGCGTCGCGAAAATACGTGCCCAAGTCTGCGGCAAAGGGTTTCTTACAGTCAACCAATGGTGCCTCAGACGAAGCTCGCGAAAGCTTCAGACAGTCTTTCCATTTAGAGGATCAGGCCGACATGGTTTGCTTGACTGATGAGCAAAGATTGGAATGGGCCAAATTGATGGAGCGGGAAACCAAGCTTGAGGATCCATTTGAGTCGACGGAAGATGACAAGAACCACAAATTCTCCAACTCTCAGGCTTTGGCTGCGCTTGAATTTGGTATACGGTAGTAGACCTACCATTTTTGATGCGAATTTCATGATTATTACTGCGATGGCAGTGGCATGGAGCGAGGAGTATCTGAATTCAATAGAATCAAGCTGACCGATTGGGTTTTCAGCATCAATCGCCTATGTATAGTGTCTTTCAATGCAGATGTCGATCATAGCTCTCGAGCATGTCTTTGAGATTCCGCAAATCATTAATTTATCAACGACGTGTGCAGCTCTGGTGAAGATGGACCCAATTTAGCCGAGCATCATCTTTACCCGGCTTCCGGTTTCCTTTAGCCAAGGGTGTTGACGGTACATCGAATGCCGAAAGGTGGCGTTGTTCTGGAGTGGCAGCATGGAGACTGAAATTTCATCAGAGAGCAGTCAACGAGAGCGAAAAGTATGGGCCGAGACAACGATTTCGAAGGGAAAGTTATTGCCATAACTGGTGGAGCTTCTGGTGCGCGAGTCTGGACCCAAGAATGGGAGAGAGTCTCTGCTGATTAGATGATATTTTGCTTTCAGGAATTGGACTGTCTACTGCACAAATCCTCCTCTCCAGAGGCGCCAGAGTTGCAATCGGCGATGTCGACGATGCAGCAATTGAGAGCGCGACCAAGTCACTTCAGCCTGCTGACAGGGTCCTGATCACCAAAGTCGATGTTTCGAATCGTGGCAATGTGGACTCATGGATCAAAGCTGTTGTTGAGAAATTCGGCAAGCTGTCTGGAGCCGCCAATTGTGCGGGTGTAATTGGAAAGCACCATGGCACGAGAAAGGTCGAGGAGTTGGAAGATGACCAGTGGGATCTGATCATGGCTGTCAATCTTACAGGTAAGCAAGTTCTCAAGAGCTTCTGATGCCCAATGCTTATCTGGCACATAGGTATGATGTACTGCATGAGAGCACAGCTTCAAAACATGCCAGGGCCTGGTAGTGTTGTCTGTGTCAGTTCTGTTCAAGGCACATTGGGATTCGCGAAACATGCTGCATACGCCGCAAGCAAGCACGGGATTCTAGGTCTCGTTCGAAGTGCAGCGAAAGAAGTGGGCGAGCGGAATATCAGAGTCAACGCTGTGACGCCAGGATCCATTCAAACGCCGCTCATGGACAAGCGCAATGCTCTTGAAGGTGTAGATCCGAACGACCACGCAGTCACGCCAATCAATAGGATGGCGCAGCCAAGTGAGGTAGGCAATCTCATTGCCTGGCTTTTGAGTGATGAGGCGACGTTCGTGAGCGGCGCTACGTATGCTGTGGACGGTGGTTGGGCTTGTTGACGTTGATATAGCAGTCTTGGTAGTGTTGGCATATGCGCATAGTGAATCATTTGAAGCACTTCTCGGTCAAATGAGCTTGTAAACGTTTACCAAGATTCAATGCATTTGCTCAAGACTGTGGTTGAGCTAGCTTGATATATCCCTCATCGTCGTACACCAGTTCCCGTATCTTGGCAGAGCGCAAGTGATTCTTGCCAGATATCGACGAGTCGTGATAGCATAGATAGAGCTTGTCTCTGAACTCTACTATCGAATGATGAGTCGTCCATCCTTCCACGGGCTCAAGGATTCTCCCCGCGTAGCTAAATGGACCCATCGGAGAATTTCCGATTGCGTACGCAATGTAGTGAGTGTCGCCTTTTTCTTCATCAGTCAATTTGTTCCTGTTGCGAGTCTTGGACGATTGATCTTACCTGTGCTGTAGCTGAAATAATATTTCGAGCCGCGCTTGTGAACCCAGGCTGCCTCGAAAAATCTTCTGTCGTGTTTCGATGCGTGGATTGGCTTCCCATCAGGGTCATTGATAACCAGATCATGAACACCATCTACGAAACCCTTCATGTCTTCGGTCAACTTCGCAACTCGTGGCATCAATGCAGGCCCATTACCGGAGGCTTCCATTGTTTCGTATGCTTTTGCATCGAAATGCCCGGATTTCCAGCATTGCAATTGACCTCCCCATATTCCACCAAAATAGAGGTAGGCTTGATTGTCGTCATCAACAAGCACAGCAGGATCAATGCTGTAACTTCCTTCAATTGGCTTGGGCTCCGGCTTGAATGGACCTTCAGGCTTGTCGCTGATAGCAACGCCAATTCGGAATACACCATCATAGTCTCGAGCAGGAACTAGTCGAAGCAGTCAGTGCCACTGTAAAGAGGAAACAGCATTGGACCTCACAGTAAAAGTAGTATTTGCCATTTTTGAATGCGCAATCCGGAGCCCACAGCTGCTTCTCTGCCCAGGGTACATCGTCGAGGCCAAAAGCTTTGCCATGCACTGTGACCTTCTCTCCTATCCCATCCATTGACAATACATGGTAGTCGACCATGTCATACTGGCTGCCGTTGTCGTCGTCGGGAATACTCGTGCGTCTATCGTGCGAAGCATAGATGTACAGGCGGTCATTGAAGACTCGTCCACTGGGATCTGAGCGATTTCAGCCATGTTATCCCAACCGATATCATGGTTCGAAGCTTACCAGCGAAGAAGTCGTCTTGAACCAAAGCGTTCACATGTGCCATGGTCAACAGATCAGGGTCAGGAATATGGTGCGGCTTTGCAATCGAAAGAGCCAGCAACAGGCATTATGTATATGTTCAATCGAGGTTGGTATTAGCCTAATGTGCTGCTTTAAGCAGCAATGCATATCTCGTGGACTGCACGCGCATCCATAGCCCCGAGCATACGCCAGAATCACCCTTCGTAACCGCAACGTGTCAAGCTCTTTCCACAGCGACTCACGCCTAGGCTTCAACAGCCATTATGCGAACGATAGCGAAGAGGCGTTTCAGGAGGCTGTTGCGATCAGGTCGATGGTCCGGAGCGAGGGCGATGGTACTGTTTCCGGTCGGCGGTGCTACACACTCGAACAATGGTGCTGCATCTTATCGTCGTCAATGTCCAGAAACTCATCCCGGGGCTGAAGACATTTTGTGCGACGTCCGCTGAAGAAATTTTGTGCGACGTCCGGTTTGAAATTGACAGCTCGCAACAGTCCGTGCGTGTGCGCTGGAGAAGACCTGATGCTCCACCACCGCAATGCCAGTGCCCATCCTCTACAGTAGACGGTCGACGCGCCAGAGTCTCCTCCCATGGCCGCTCTTGCATTCAAGGTTGACTTGTAAGTGGCTTGGGGAATGTCTATGGAAGAAGAATTCCACCAGCCAAAGGTCATTTCGAAACGACTACTATCACTAACGTGGCACTTGCATATGACAACTACCCGTGAACATTTCTCGCGCACGCTGCCGTAATATCCTAGCCTACGCCACGAGCTCACACGGTGCGCTGAAACCGGGAAGACGCATATCCTGGATCTTGACAAGACCAGCATACCGAAATGTCCTCGCACGTGCCTTGGCAGCGCGAGGCCTACAAAGATCAATCGCCGCCGACCTTCTGATTCGTGTCATCACCCTCGATAGGACTGTCTTTCTTTTCCTGGCTTTCGTCGTTCTCTACATCCGTTGATCGGATACACTCTCGCTCATTCACGCCACGCCCGGCACAACACTCTGGAAGTCTGCAACAACATCACTATGATGAAGGGAGCAGCACTGGCATTCGTGCTGTGCGTAGCAGCAGCACCTGTCGACAATGACAAGCGACAGTCTGACTCCATTCCCTCTCTGAGCCTGCCTGCTGGTGGCGGCTCTGCCCTTCCAACCGCTCTCGGTGGCCTCGACTCTGGCGGCACATCAGGCTCCAATGCCTTGAATGGCTCCAGCGGACTTACGGGACTCACAGGGCCCTCCTCTGGCACTGATCTTGGTAGCAGCGGTCTCACGGGCGTAGGCGGCTCATCGAACAGCCTTACGCCTACCACAACACCGTTCAAGAAGCGTCAACATCTCAGCGGTCTTGGCTCTGGCACAACGGGCGGTGTTGGATCCTTGACCTCGGCTTCCTCTGGCTCCTCGGGCTCGTTCGGAGGACTTGACTCTGGCTCAACCTCTGGACTCGCCGGATCGACTGGTTCAAGCGGCTGGACAGGCGCCTCAAGTGGACTTACAGGACTTGCTGGCTCTTCTGGAAGTGGCCTGACCGGCCTAAGTGGTTCGTCCAGCAGTCTTACGCCAACGACAACTTTTGGCAAGCGTCAATTCGGCTCTGGCACATCTGACCTTAGTGGCCTGACTTCCGGCTTTTCTGGCTCGTCTGGAAGCTTTGGTGATCTCTCTAGTTGGGGAGGGTCCACGGGGACATCTACTGGCGATCTTGGCGGTCTCACATCAGGGACCTCTTCTGGATCGACGTCTGGCTCCAGCAGTACATCCAGTCAGTCGGTCGTCGTTGAGACTGACAAGTACAATTGAGGCTAATTGAGAACAGCAGCAAAACCGTCCCCAGCGGCAGACGGGAGCTGCAAAGGTATAGAGCCAAGATCTTCGCATGAAGTTGGGCTAACTCATATTGATAGCCATCTCCCTGCTCTTCGCTCGAGGCACTGGTGAATCAGGTAAGTTAGCAATCAATAATTTGAGTGCACCGCGATGTCTGAGATCTTTGCTGAACTCAAGAATCAGGCACGATGGGCACGGTCATTGGTCCTCCTCTCGCAACTGCCCTCGCCAACGCTGCTGGCGCCGACAAGGTTTACTCTGAGGGCGTCGAATACGCTGCCAGCTCTTCTGGAAACACCAACATGGGCGCCGACGGTGGAGCAGCAATGGCCAAACACGCCCAAGCAATTCTTTCATCATGCCCAGACACCAAGCTCGTGCTATCAGGCTACTCACAAGGCGCTATGGTAAAATAACCTACCTATCTGGCATGGTAATAATAAGCTAAGGTAGAGATTTAGGTCGTCCACAACGCGCTCTCCTCGCAGGGTCTGGACGGAAGCAAAGTTGCCGCAGTTGTTGCTTTCGGCGATCCATTCAATGGCCAGGACTTCGAAGGTGTGGATGCGAGCAAGTGTAAGGAGTTTTGTGGAAGCAGTGACTTCTTATGCTCTAGCGGTAAGTGTTGATATTCATCGTCTTCGAGGGAGAAGGTTAAGCTGACGACTGTGCAGGCGGTACGACAGGTTCCGGCGGCCATGTCAGCTACGGCGGGGATGCTGAAGCTGCTGCGAGCTTCATTGTCCAGGCTGTGGGCGCCTAGAAATCTGGTTCTTGTTCGTGCATATGATGGTTCGGCTGTGCGTAGCACCGCCTGACTGCTATTCGGATTATCCTCCGCTGATGTGACTCGGTCTCGCTATTCAGCATGGCTAGATATTTCTTGATTCCTGTAGAACAATTCCACAGAGGGATCCCGCCGAGCTGGGTGACTTGAACAACCTTGTCAATTTCGTGCCTAACATCAGACACGAGAGGACGACTGCCTGTAATCCGCTGACCGGCTTCCTCGTATGAAAGCAAGGCTATGTGGGACTTCCGATGCTGGATGGCGAATTCAGGTTCTGCTGCAACACTTGCATCAACGCCAAATTTTGGACCGGAGCAGGGTATCTTCGCATCAAATCACTAAGCCAACCCGAAAATAACACCAATCAATCCAAGCCGGAAAAGTTGAAAGCAGGTGCGCTACTTGAAGGGCCTTTTCCTCTCTTCCTCTTCTTGCGCCTTTTGCGATTCTTTCCCTCGTCGTCACTGCTATCCTCAACGTCTTCATCCTCGTCACTATCCGCATCGCTATCACCAGCAGGTCTCTTGATTGTCACACCTTCTGCTTCCTCGTCCTCATCCTGCTCGCCAGCAACAGCTTCTCTCCAAACCTTCAAGCTCTGCCCGCCACCGCTGATCATGCGACCCTGCACATCAAAGCTTAGAGCGACAACTCCCTCCATTTCATCGTGCTGCACCTCGCCGACCACTTTGTTCATGCCCAACCTGACGAATCTCACTTTTCCATCGCCTAGTCCGACCGCTATTTTCTTGCCAATACCGCCAATACCATCAGGAACGTGTGTCATACAATCCAGTGTCTCTTTCTCGCGACTCACGATGATTCTCTCGTCCTGATCATCCCATTGTCCCTTCTCCCATAAGCTGATTACTCCATCGCCCTGTCCTGTAACAGCTTTTTCACCCGTGGAGCCTGAGGACTTCTTGAACGGGAGACCAGTGACGTAGAGACATGACAGAAGTAGTTCTTCTTGATCTTCAGACTTGGCGAGGACACCGCGGCGAAGGTCTGTGAGAGCAAGAGTGGTAGATCCGGTGGTAATGCACTGCTTAGAGAATCCTGAAGTCGAGGAAGTGGATGGCGGAATGGGAGCCAGAGAGGAGATGTAGTCCGTATGGGGATGGTAGGTCTGGGAAGGCTTGGTGGAGAGGAAAGCAGTCTTGGGGTGCTGTACGGGAAGGCTTGGTGCTGGATTGCGCAAGTCGTAGAGATGCAGGGCGCCTGAATCGGTGGAGAGTAGGAGGGTCTGCGGACTCAGTGCGTGTACGACTGTGGGAGCGTCGACTTCTGCGCGCGAGGAGGATGCATTGGCATTGGCAACCGGTATGGAGAGCTTGCCAGTGACTTTGCCTGTCTCGCTGTCGGCCGCCTTGACGATTCCATCGGTGCCCGCAGAGTAGAGCTGCGTGCCGTCGATGCTGTATGCCAAGCAGCGGCAGCTCCCCTTGTGTCTCCTGGTAGTCCACATGGTACCAATGACATTGCCTCCATTGCTCCCTCTTCTCAGTAGGCCGGTGGGTGTCGGCTCGATTGGGATGTCGTCGTGCTCGCCAGGAATGCGAAGCGTCGCGACATGGCCGCTGGTCAGGCCGACCGACAGCAATGGCTCGCTTGGGTGGACGGCCTGGGCGAACAGCTCCGCCTGCAACGGCAGCGAGCACAGGTTCTCGAACATCATGAAGCCATGCGTCGTCAACGTCAATGCATTCCGGCGCCAGAGGGATTGAGGCAGGTAAATTTCGCGGCCAGTGCATCTCCAGGCGACGGGATCGGCCGGCGGAAAGGGTCTGCTGCAGCCTGCAGCTTTGATTGAATTTGGCCAGGGACAGTCTTCCACTGACTTCCAGCGAGCAACATGGGTTTTACATGGGAGCTCACCGTCCGCCCCGCCCCGCCCCGCCCCGCCCCGCCCCGCCCCGCTGCGTTCCTGTACCTGCAGGCGCAGGCCCATGACGTGCTGCAGCTCTGAATACTGGAGCATGCACATCGCCACATTTCGCGTAGATGCACTGCACTGATGCTGCAGGTCTGTGTTCTTCCTTCCCTTCCCCTGAAGCCGCCGGCGAAGTGACGATGGTTGTCCGGCGAGTAGCACCTCCTCCTCCAAAGCAGAAGCAGATATCCTTCGGATGTAAGCATCGGCGACATTCGTGCAAGCATTGGCAATGCACGTGGCTCACCGCGTCCAGACTGTGATACTGTGAAAGGCGAACGTGTCTATCCCCCTCCCCCTCCACCTCCGACCATGAGCGAGAGTGATCTCCTCCCCGAGCAGTTGCCGCCACCGCCACCGCCACCGCCACCACAGACCCAGGCTAAAGCCAGCTCACGTCCCAACGATCTCGGCGATATGTACTGCAAAGTGACCTGCCACCCACCGCTTGGGCAAGCCACCACCATCTCCAGGCATCAGAGTGCATTGGACTTTGTTGTCTTGCTGGAGACCGGCTCCGAAGCGGTCGACTTGAGCCAAGCCCAGGTCTGCGTCTGGCACAACCATGGAGGCCATCACGATTGGGCAGAGCTCCATCTCAAGCCCTCGACGGAGTATGAGGAAGTTCTGCTCCTAAACCGACCTTCCACCCACCGAGTTAGACGAGAGTGGTTCACCGCTCACCTGTCTGGATCTCCCAAGCATGGACAGGCAGTATCTTTCACGCTCAAGTTCCTGCTGAAGAATGATCAGAACTGGAGATGGGTCAAAGACCTCACCGGCATTGAGGACGGCGAACTTACTTATCAGAGCACTGACTACGGAAAGCATTCCGCCTACGATCTCAATCACTGGTTCAGTGATATCAGCAAAGACATCAAATGGCAAAGCGAGAAGCCGGATACAGACGAGACCTATCTCTATTCATTGACTGCACCTGTCATTCCCGCAAAAGGTCCGGATTCAGGCTGGCAGCATCATCAGCTTGGAACGCCATCTCACGTCACGAGGTGGTTCAGCTTGGTTCGATTGTGGTCGCCTTGGCTGGCTCCAAGACAAGGAAAGGGTAAATTCGAAGTCGACAAAGATGCCGTCCTGATCTCATTTCTGCGCTCCGATGGCCTGCATGTGGTTGTTCTGGGCATTAGTGGTGTTCAGGACGTGGTGACAACGTTTTTCAACGATAAGAGCGGAAACGTGATCATCAAAGGCCGCAACGATAAGACCGAAGCCGGAACAAGCACTACTCTGGTGGCAGTGGCCAACAGCTTCGAAGTTGCAAACGCAGCAGTATTCTACCATGCTCGCAAAGTCGTTGCTGCCAACGGGTACAACGAGAACGATGCGGAAGTGAAGACTCTCCTGGACCCCATGAAGCCCGACTGGCTGGAGGAGTGGTATGATGGCCTCACATATTGCACTTGGAATGGCCTTGGACAAAACCTGACGGAGCAGAAAATATACGATGCCCTTGATGCCTTAGCAAAGGAGAACATCAACATCACAAATCTCATCATCGACGACAATTGGCAAAGTCTTTCCAAAGGCGAGACTCAATTTGTCCGTGGCTGGTCTGATTTCGAGGCGAACGCCGATGGATTCCCCAAGGGAATGAAACACACCACAACCGAGATTCGCAAACGTCATCCTAATATCAACCATATAGCGGTCTGGCACGCACTTTTAGGCTACTGGGGAGGAATTGACCCTCGAGGCTGGATCGCCCAAAACTACAAGACAATCCAAGTGGAAAAGGAGCCAGGCGTGGCAGGTGGTATCTTCACCGTCGTCGCTCCCGAGGACGCAAGCAGGATGTACAACGACTTCTATGCTTTCCTTTCGGACTCTGGTGTTGATTCGGTCAAGACCGATGCACAATTCTTTCTTGACCTTCTATTACATGCTCCGGATCGTAGAGAAATGATCACGACATACCAGGATGCATGGACGATCGCTCACCTACGACACCTGAGCTCAAGAGCAATCTCTTGCATGAGCCAGGCACCGCAAATCTTATTCCATTCGCAACTGCCTCAAAACAAGCCAAAATTACTGGTACGCAACTCTGACGACTTCTTCCCTGAGGTCGCCGCGAGTCACCCTTGGCACATCTTCTGCAATGCCCACAACTCGCTCCTCACGCAGCATCTGAATGTTCTTCCGGATTGGGATATGTTCCAGACGAGTCACGAATGGGCTGGCTTCCATGCAGCTGCCAGAGCTGTCAGCGGAGGCCCGATCTACTTCACTGATACTCCAGGAAAGCACGACATCTCGCTCATCAAACAAATGACAGCGCAGACTGCCAGAGACAAGACGGTCATCTTGAGGCCGAGTATCGTTGGAAAAGCCATGAATCCTTACAACGAGTATTCAGCCCCCACTCTCCTGAAGATAGGAACCTACGTGGGTATGTCGCGTACCGGCGCCGGTATTCTTGGTATCTTCAATGTCAGCAAGCACCACTTGTCCGAATTCACAGCTCTTGACGAGTTTCCTGGCACCGAGGAGGGAATATACGTGATCGGATCTTTCACAAGTGGGCAGATTTCCATGTCTGCTGCCAAAAGAGGTCAAAAGCACGCACTTGTTGGTATTGAGGTAGAGCCTCAAGGGTGGGACATTTTGACTGCATACAATGTACAGACCTTCGAGCTGAAATCTTCTCCGAAGAAGCCTGTGGGAGTCGCCGTGCTCGGTCTTGTGGATAAGATGACTGGTTCGGCGGCCGTCACAGGTTATGATATCTATGTTGAGGACAATGGGAGATTGAGGATTTGGGTCAGTCTGAAAGCGCTTGGGATGTTGGGAATTTGGATCTCGGAGCTAGAGAGCAAGAGTATCGAGAATGACTTCCTTGTTCTGATCTTTGGCAAGCCGATTGGGGTGGACTGTGTCAAGAAGAGTGGTAAGGATGCGAGACTTCTGGAGATTGATGTCGAAAAGGCGTGGCGTGAGAGTGGAGAGAAGGCTGGGTGGAGCAATGAGGTGACTTTGGAGGTGTTTATGCATTGAGGAATGGTGATATGATGACGTTGCATAGTCGTATCCTTCTGAGAGCGGTTGCTCAAAAACGAAGAACTGCCGTTGAAGGGCCATACCAGGAGAAGAGTTGAAGAAGGACGCAGTCATCCAGTAGTAGGGGACACAATAATCACAAGTTCACATAATAAGTAGCCCCGGCCCCCATACTGCAACTATCAGAAGTGACCGGGATTGCGGTTGGGGGTGCGAGATTGGATTGGAGGAGAATTTTAAACTAACGATGCCACTTCAGTCTTCACGCATGCAACATCAGAAATGCCGATCGGACGGGCCAGAATGGAAGTTGGAACGCATTCGACTGTCCACAGAATTGGAGACAGTAAAATCATGCGGCTCTGTCGTCGCTCATGCAACTCAATAATCTCGAAGGCCACGCGGCAGTCAGGATGTGGTCTTCTAGACGCGCTTGTTTGAACGTATTGTTCATGCTTCTGTCCACCGCAGCTGCGGAAACGATCGTATCTTCACGCAACTTTCACGGCATCCTCAATGCTGACTCTGGTGTCCTTCAGTCACTCAAGCCAGCATCAGACGACTCCTTTGACTTCTCGCCTTCCGATTATTTTGCCTTGCGCAACGGCGTTGGCAATTACCACACTGGTGACCTGACAGCACGCTGGCGAGTCAAAGGAGAGGCAGAATGGCGGGAAATTGACACCGCGAAGAAGAGGGATATCAAGCCACACTCGACTGCCGGTGGACATGGGCTACTTCACACGACTTTCGACAATGTCTTCCAAGATGCAGCGAAGCACTTCAGCCTCAGCCGAGATTGGTCCATCGTGGACGATGATCTTGTTCTGAAGGCAACGGTACAAGCAAAGGACTCTTCCACCATTGAAGTTGGTGCTTTTGGATTTCCAATCGAGTTCAACAATATCTTCACGAACAGAACTGCGGGTAACACAACGGCCAGGTGCGTATTGCTGGATCCATACATTGGGCTTGACGCAGGATATGTTCAAGTGACCCGGCTAACAGGGACTGGGCCGAATCTCATCGTGACTCCTTATAGCAAGCACTCCAGGTTTGAAGCATGGCGCTTCTTGGACGAAGACCCGAAGCAGCCTACCGGCTACCAGACTCAAGTGTTCGAGGGCATTTATTCGTGGCAAACGCTTACCAAGGCCTACAAAGAGCGAGAATGGAATGCTTCAGAACCATGGAACGAGCCGACGTCTCTTACGCTTGCACCTGGAAAATCGGTATCTTTTGCGCTTCGATTCGGGTTGTCGAAGACCACTCACGATATCGAGGATGCTGTTGCATCAAAAGACGTTCCGGTGGCCATAGGTCTTCCTGGCTACATTCTCCCAACGGATATGGATGGTCAATTATACATCAACTCGAAGGCAGCTGTCGGCTCTATCGAGGTATCTCCTCCTGGCGCTCTGACAATCACTGAGCAACCGCCAAAGAAGAGGTGGAAGGCATACACAGTAAACAGCCATGATGGCGCCTTTGGACGTGTACGTGTGACCATCAAATACAGTGACGATAGAACACAGAGCGTACATTACTTTGTGACCGACACGCAAGAGAATTCAAGCGACAAGCTTGCCAAGTTTTTGTTCGACAAGCAGTGGTTTAACGACACGTCTGATCCATTCCATCGCGCTCCGTCCGTGATCAGCTACGACTATGAGGCTGGCAAGCAAGTTCTGCAAGACAGAAGAGCCTGGATCGCCGGAGTGTCCGATGAAGGCGGCGCTGGCTCGTTTGAAGCAGCTGCTATGAAAGTTGCAGTCCGACCGACCAAGGATCAGGTCCACAAGTTGGAAACAATGGTTAACACCACTGTCTGGGGCTGGCTTCAGGATAAGACCTCCGACAACAGCACCAATCCTCCTACATACGAATACGGCGTCAAGCGTAGCTTGTTTTACTACGAGCCAAAATCATTGCCCAACTACAAATACGATCCCTCGATCGGCTGGAATGCCTCTGTATGGAATAAGTCTGAGGCATATGCTATCTGGCGAGCATACGATTACGTTCATGTCAGTGTAATTTATTGGGCACTCTACAATGCCGAGCTGGTCGTGCCGGGAATTCTAAGCATTAATAACGCTACGTGGTATCTCACTCAAGCATATCGAACTGTAATAGCTTCCCAAGCAGACAACGTGGCATATTGGTATTATGGCCTGATGGGAGAAACAATATGGCTCTCCATTCTCGAAGCCCTCAAGGCAGAGCAGCTTACATCCGAAGCACACAAGTTGGAAGCCGCGATGAAGGCACGACAGGACGACTGGGCCACAAAATCGGAGCCTTTTGGTTCGGAGATGGCTTGGGATTCCACAGGACAGGAAGGCGTCTATTTCTGGTCGAAACACTTCAATGACAGCAAGACCGTGGAGAAGACTCCAAATTCCATCCGCGGCTACATGCCTGCTGTGGCACATTGGGGCTGGAATGGCAATGCTCGACGTTACTGGGACTTCTCATATGCTGGCAAGCTACACAGAATAGAGAGGATGATTCATCATTATGGAAGGTGAGTTCGTGTCTAAAAGAAATCGCTCGCTGAACAGATTGCTGATTCAAAACAGTGGTCTGAACTCTCTACCATTGCTAGACTCGTACAAGTACAACAAGGAGCCTGCTGGACGGGCAGCCTTTCATGATCTTCGTGTGGCTTACGGTGGCCACATGGGCCCACTTTCGAACATCAACAAAGAGGGATTTGGAGCCATGGCTTTTCATTCCTTTCCTGAAACGCTGAAGTGGGATGCATACAGTGGCGACTACGGACCAAATTTCCTCGGACATATCCTCGGTGCTTGTACGATACTTGTGAATCATCCTGACTTCGGCTGGACAGTCTTTGGCGGGAATATGAGACAGAACGGGTATGGAGATGTCATCACTGTGGAGCCTAAAGACAGTGTCAAGAGGAGGCTGTACATTGCTGATATGGGATTGAAGGTGGAGATCGAAGCTGGCATCATCGAAAGCTTCACGTACACTCCTTCTACTCAATACTTGGAGATCAAGCTTGACCAGAAGGATGAAAATGGTGCCGAAATGACGGCCTTGAAGTTGGAAGATACGCTCGGGATGGGGTTTGGAACCAACATCACCGAAGGCCTCAAGCGTACTCGTGACCTACAGCCAAGAAATCCAGATGGGAAGAAGGCACGAATCGGCTTCGAAGTGCAACTCCCAGCCACGGTGAAGCTCGAAGTCGCAGATGGAAGACTATTGTGCCCTTTATGAAGTTTATGTAGCAGCTGGCCTGAACACAGCGAAACACATGGTTGTCAAACGCCGAATAGAAAGGCATCTCAGGTCGCCCCATGGGCCAGAAGTTGCACGGCAGATGACAGCCAAGCAACTGCCGCGACGTTGAAGCAACTCTTTCCTTATTTAGAAACCTCGCTACGTATGCTCATGGTTTCCCCAGTTCCCCCCACCTTCCCCACAAGATCCATCCAGGAACAACCGGCACAATCGGGGCAACCAGTCGAGGACTTTTGCCGCCCTTTCGATCGCCGCTCCGTAACTGAGAGCGCGCTTGAGAATTACGGATTATCTAGAACGAGATAGTCTGTTTTCAATCGATAATATGGAAAATACGTTAGCCCTCTCTCTATATAGAAAGTTTCAAGTCAATACGTTCGTAGTCGTCGCGTGGCGGTAAAGTCGTGATTCTTATACTATCGTTTGGCTCTTCGGACGCAAGCTTCAGTTGGTAAAGCTTTATACTAATAAAAGGACGGCGGATTTTACGATACCATAGAATCTCTCTACTTCCATCCATGTCATAAGTGTGTAACGTCGACTGCGTTCTACTGATTCGAGATTATAGTCTGTCGAAGAGGGGAGCGCAGAAGTCCGCGACGGAAAAGTGTACGGTAAGCCGGCACATGGTGAAGGCAGATAAACATCTGCCGGCCAGGGATGGACAACCATGCATAAAAACCACATGGCCAATTCTCCGCATAACCTTTGCGCCTGCAGAAAGACGCCTCTTCGCACGCTCTTGTCTTCTTGCTAGCTCATTCAAGTTGCGATATACAATGGCTTCAAAGGAAGAAACGATTCACCTGGAGCGGGTCTCGGACGCGAAGGCTACGGATGAGAACTACAGTCATCATGCTGCTATCCAGCCTAATGTCACTAACCTCGACGATGAGCATATTCAACTCACCTGGAAGTCATGGGTTGTCGTATTTATCTCCTGCTTTGCGGTCTTTTCGCAAATTATGGTTGTCGTCGCCGCAAGTTCGGTCATCGCGTTCATCGTCCGCGATTTGGGCGTAAATAACAGCGGGTGGATTATCCAAGGACCACTCCTCATGCAGAGTGTGCTGTCGCCATTTATGGGTCGACTCAGCGACGTTCTGGATCGAAAAATGCTTTCTGCTGTGCCACCGCTGATAGCTTTTGCTGGAGCTGTGATCTCGGCGAAAGCCAATTCAATGGGTATGCTCATTGGAGGAGGAATTCTGATTGGCACGACACTTGGTACGCAGTGCAGTCGTGCAAATAATAGCCGACTTCGCTGAGCTGACGTTGAACCCAGCCACAATAAGCATCGTGCAATCCATTCCCTCAGAAGTCCTTCCTATGAAGTATCGCCCGTTGGCGAATGGACTGGCTTTCTTCGGTATGCCAAAGGACACTGATGATGTTAAAGATTCATGCTGACATCCTGTGTGCTACCCAGCTGGCGCAACCGGTGGTCTAGTAGGAGGACTTGGTGCCGGGCATATGACAAATCTCAATCCGGGTGGTTGGAGAAACATCTTCTGGGTTCAGGCGGCTTTCCATCTGGCAACCGCGGCAGGCTTTCTATTCTTCTACTGGCCGAAAAAGAAATCTGATTACCCTCGAATGACATTGAAAGAGTACATCTGGGCTATAGATCCAATTGGAAGCGTGCTCTTTGTCGTATCGGCCACGTTGATGCTGCTAGCCCTGGACTGGGCAGGAGGAGCATATGCCTGGAGTGATGCGCATGTCGCTGCGCCTTTGGGAATCGGGCTGGGTGTGCTCGTGCTCTTCTGTCTATACGAGTGGAAAGGACGAAGCGATGGGATTGTCGCACATGTTTTCTTCCGAGACTCACCGAATTTTGGGCTGAGCTGCTTCGCTTTTGGTAAGTCTGATGGGTACACGCCGCTCATGATGCCCTCGCTGATCTTGTGTCCGCGTCAAAGCCGTCGAAGGCTGGATCTTCTACTCCGCCGTAAATGCTATCGTGCCGCAAATCATGCTCAACCTGGGCTTCGCAACGAATTCATGGACAATATCGATCAGGCAACTAGCATATTCGTTTCCCACTATCACTTGCAGCATACTGGTAACATGGTACGCCACTCGATACAAGGACCTCAAGTGGCCGCTGATGGTCACTTTCGGTATCTTCCTGGTGGTCACTGTTCTATACGGCTGTATTGTAAGTGTGATCACGGTAATTTCACTGCACAGTCAGCGCGCATCTCGCTGACGTTCAATGAATAGAGACCTGACTGGAAGGATGTGCAACTTGGCATGAATGTCATTGCAGGTGTCGGCCAAGCAGGGCCATTGACGTTGATCGTCGCTTTGGTACAATTTACGGCACCTCATAAATACTTGTCCACGGCAACTGGCCTTGCGTTTTCGGCTCGTTCCATTGGCGGCGCTTTCGGTTCGGCCGTATTGGACGCTATAGTCAATAACAAACTAGGCGAAACGTGGGCAAAGAACGTGTCAGCCGCAGCAATTAAAGCGGGACTGCCTTCATCCTCGGTGGCTGCCTTGCTTGCAGCGATGACCTTGGGCAAGAGTCCCGCTGGCATAGCAGGTATTACCCCCGAGATCATGGCTGCTGCAACACATGCGAGCGAATGGGCATACACACGAGCATACCGCCTTGCATGGTGGTCTATTTTCCCATTCGTCGTGATCGCCATGGTGGCGATTTGGTTTTTGAAGGACGTTAAAGACCTGATGACGGACAAGGTAGAGGCAACGGTTGAGAATATCGAACATTCGACAAAGGTCGAGCAGGCATAGAGTTTGGCTCACATGCTCGAAGTCGGGATTGCCTGCTGTTGCCCTTCCGTCATCATTATAACCTTGAATCTTGAGCAATTAGCATCTACGTACCTCAGCTATCAAGCCAGCGTTCATGATTGAAGCTCGCCGATGCCTCCGATAGTCATGGTCTTGATCGTGGTATATTCATCGATGCCATATTTGCTACCTTCGCGTCCAAAACCAGAGTGTTTCACGCCTCCAAAGGGTGCAGCTGGGTCGCTGATGAGGCCTGTGTTGATTCCGACCATGCCGAATTGAAGGGCCTCGGCGACTCGATAACATCTCTGGATGTTTTTGGAGAAAAGGTAACTAGCCAAACCCACGTCGGCAGAGTTAGCCAATTCAACGACCTGCATTACGTCTGGTCAGCAGCTGTCTGACGAATGATCGTTCTCTGATGTCGCCTACCTCCTTCTCTGTCCTGAAGGGAAAAAGCGCGGCAACAGGACCAAAAGTTTCTTCGCATGAAATCTTCATCTCTTTCGTCATGTCGCGAAGTACCGTAGGCGCATAGAAGTTGTCGCCGAGATCTGGAAGTCTTCGGCCTCCCGCCAAAACAGTAGCGCCATGTGAAACTGCGTCCGAGACATGGTCTTCGACCTTGCCAACAGCTCGATCATGGATAAGCGGACCGTGAGTCACACCGTCGTCGAATCCATGACCAACTTTGAAAGACTTCACCTTTTCAGTAAAGGCTGTTGCAAACTCTTCGTATATGCCGCTTTGCACGTATATACGATTCGCGCAGACACAAGTCTGGCCGCTACTGCGGAACTTGCTAGCTATAGCGCCATTTACGGCGCTCTCGAGATCGGCGTCATCGAAGACTATGAAGGGCGCATTACCACCGAGCTCCCAAGACGTTTTCTTGCTGAAGAGATCGCAATATCAGCCAGTGTTCATATATGCCTCGTGCTCATCGGACTCACAGGGTATCGGCGGACTGCTTTAGCAGCAGTTTGCCAACGCCGGTCGAGCCAGTAAAGGAAACCTTGCGCACATCGTTAGAAGAAGTTATCGCTTGGCCGACCTCCGGGGTATTATCGAGAGATGTGACAATGTTCACAACACCAGGAGGCACGCCGGCACGCTCTCCCAACTCCATAATGGCTGCAGCGGTAAAGGGTGTCTCTCCTGGCGATTTTGCAACAACAGCACAACCAGCAGCCAGGGCTGGTCCTATCTTTCTGGTGATCATAGCCGCGGGAAAGTTCCAGCTTGATACCATATTAGCCTTCAGAGGACACGGGAAAAGTGTAGGCGGCTTACGGAGTGATCAAACCACACACGCCCACTGGTTCTCTGCTTGTGAAGACTCTGTTACCAGGCACACTGGCCGGTATGGTGTCCCCATAAAGCCTGGGCGCCTCTTCGCTAAACCACAGGAAGAAATTCGAGGCATAAGTGACTTCACCTTGCGCATCCGCAAAAGGCTTGCCATTCTCCCATGTAATTAACTTGGCCAGATCCTCTGAGTTCTGCATCATGAGATCGTACCACTTCCTCAAGATGGTAGCCCTCTGACGAGCCGTGGTCTTTCTGAAAGACTTGAGAGCTTCCGAAGCTGCTTCAATGGCTTCATTGGTATCGTGCTTGTCCATTTCGGGCATGCTTCCAATCTTCTGGTGCGTAGCCGGATCGTACACATCGAATGTCTTCCCGCCTTTAGCCTGCACCCATCTGCCATTGATGTATGATTCCTGCTTGAACAAGCTCTTGTCCTTCAACTCGGGAACCACATGCTGTCTTCTGGAGGCAGAGCTGGACAGCAGTCTCACATGGTTGGTGCGTCTGATTTGCGTGCGGACGACCGGCTTCGCGGACAGTTTGCTGAGTATGGCCTTCATGGTAGGCGATGACGATGGCTTCCACCGGCCATTCTCAAGCTTCACGGCATGGACGAGACCTGACTTTGCACTCAATGTGGATTGTGGAGCCAGCTGCCGAACAAGATCCGAAGGTCCGAACCGCAGCTTCGACGACACGACGACATCTCCTCTTCATCTGAAACAACGTGTCGGCTCACCCATGGGTCCTGGCAGCGCGTCGCCAACGTCTTCAGGAGATCGCCATCGTGAACATGCGCGTCCAATCTGGAAGTCTTCGCCGGTGGAGGTGCATCTCAAACCCTCCCCCAGCGCCTTGCTGCTTGTGTGGTCGGAGCACATTGCACAGGAATCTATGTGGACCGGAATCTATTGATGAGGACGGCTAGATCTATCAAGCAGCCATCCGGAATGCTTGCTGTGCAATCAGCACCCTTCCCTGGAAGAGCAGCTTTTGAAGCGTCGCGCCCGCACCGTCGTCGCTCTGGCACGACACAAAAGGCGAATCCTCCTACCATGCCTGATCTGGACCAACTACGGAATTATGGATTGCAGGTTGGGGACAGAGCGCGCTCACGCGACACGGATTGTAGTATCTGTCGGGTATGTGTCTTGAGTTATATATAATACGGCATTCTGGATGTATGCTGATTCCTCGCCAGGAACGTGTCAAAGATCCTGTCGTGACAGAATGCCAACATGCTTATTGCTTTGAATGCATTCAGCAATGGTTACGTCGCAGTATACAGTGCCCGGACTGCAGACGTGGTCTGCATAAAGAACGGGTTGGGCCCCGAACCGCAGCACCGACACTGACGCCCCCTCCCACTGGGCCAGCACGATACTCAAATATGCATTGGGTTGCAGATGCTGTCCCAGACAGTTTTGCTGTACAAACACCAAGCATACACTCTCTAGCCACATCTCAGAGCACTCCTTCCTTGCGATCCGAGGCCACTCGGCAGAATCGTATGTCTCAGGCTTCGTCACAGCCGTCAATTGCAGAAAGCGAGTCTACTTCATCTATTCAGGAACCCACTTCGGCATCCTCATCGTCGTCATGGTGCTTACAAAGGCGCATGCCCCTTCGGAACAGAGCTGCTCACCCAACTGGTCTTTCCGGCATGTCGAATCCCTCTACCGAGTCACTGTGCTCTGCTCAAATGAGGCGAAAACTTCTGTACAACACTGCAAAGCATCTACCTCCTATATATATTCCGCAGCAGGCCTCGGCACAGCCGATCCTATATCCGCCATCACGCAGTAAGAGCCATAACGACCTTGCAGCGGAGTACAGAAAAGGCTGCGACAGTCCACAGCCCGCTCGCAGACGACTCATCACCGTGGACGCCGAGGAGATGTTATCGAAGATGTGGCAAACCAGCTCCATGATGGCAGACAGCATGCAAATCACGATTCGTTGTCGGGCCATGGCCAAGTGCGCGTGGCGTGAGTGGCGCGAATTCCTCGAGGCAAACGACGGGAGAGATCTATACGCGGAAGATCTTCTAAAAGCACTATCGAGAACCTTTGAGCGAATGGTCTGTGAATATGGTTGGGCTGATGACTGGCGTCTTCTGCCGGAGCCTTTCATACACATGATGAAGAAGACCGCGAAAGCTGCGGTTGGCGAGTACAAATGAGGATCCGGGTTGATGATCACCATGACGCGTTGAGCTTTATATCGATACCCACCAAGCAACGACTTACATGATATTTATGATACGCCTACAGTAATTATGTATAACTACATGTACTACAGTACAACCTTTTTCCAACCACGAAAATTAGTCTTTCATGTCTTGGCCATCAGGCTTGAGCACAATGCAGTGCTTGCCCAACGCCTTGCTACTTGGCGATATCGATGTGCAACTTATTTAATACATGTAGCCCGTTACTGCTTGCACATTGGCTCTATGTCTATGTTCTCAGTGAGTGACACCTTTCGGGCTAGCCATTACACCCTGCCAGTGAACTTGTTCCTCGGCAATCCTCTCACACCCACATCGATCATGAAGAGGGCGCCCTGGTATTTAGTGCTCCAGGGATATTTCTCCGGCTCCTCCTCCGCCGCTGTGGTGATGAAAAGCTGGGTGCCGCACAGTTCAGGACAAGTCACACACCTTGTCGGAAGTTTTACTTCGGCGACAACTTCACCTCGAGGGCTCACTCTTACTACTTTGCTGGTTCCGAAGCAGGCGACCCAGAAATGACCCTCCTCGTCCCGGCAATGACCATCCGGCACACCGCCTTCATATGGGCATGTGAAGAACGCTTTGCCTTCAGGTGAAAATTCTCCGGTTTCCGGGTTGTATGGGTATGCCATAATCTTACCAGAGGGAGAATCAGTCAGGTACATGGTCTTGTTGTCTGGTGCCCAGGACGTTCCATTTGGAATTGTGACACCTGCCAAGGTCAGTAATTGCCAAGCCATCATGATGTGAGCAAAGGACGTATTGCTGCGGATCTCTGACCTTTCTTGACTCGATGGATGCTCAGATCTGGATCAAGTCGGAATATAATGCCTAGTGCGTTCACTCCATGAGTGCCTGGGCATGGAAAATAAAATGCATGACATCCCACGCACCTTCGTCTGTAAAGTTTCCACTTCCCACGATTGCCGGATCATTCATGGCTCCGACGTAGAATCGACCTTTGATGTCAACAGCCCCATCGTTGGACCGCATGCGCTCTGCTAGATTTTTGCCTTTGCCTGGTTTTCCTCCGTTGTCGTCTTGTCGCTCGGCCTCGGTCCACATCTCCTTGATGATCCGGTGCTCACCGGTGTTCTACCTCTAGTTCAGTCATCGTGCTCTATTGCCGGCAGATGTCATGCTTACTTTATTAAATAGCCCATAGCCGGTCTTGCCGCCAAACATGAACTCTGTCTCATTGCCTTCGATGTCGGCTGTAGTACCAATAGAGTACTTAAGATTCCACTGTTTGTGAGAGGATGGGCCTTCGGAGAGTTTGACGGTATGTAGCTTCTCCTTGACAATGTCTACGAAGCGTAATGTGTCTCTGTCCTTCTCCCAGAAGGGGGCCTAGGACTCTCGATCAGTAGAGTTTGATGAAGCTAGGATCTGCTTTTCGCACCTCTCCAAGTCCACAACCTAGATCGAGATAGGGCTCGCTGATGGTGTAGCGCTTGACGTCTGGCATCTTGAACGGCGTCGTTGTTTCCGAGGGCCAAAGTACTGTACCTTGTGCTCGCTCTCTGGCTAGTCGTTTGAGATGATGCAGTGGCCGCTGCCGTTCCGGTTCCCCGGGCAAGCCAAGCCAGCAAGCACGTGTGAACTTCACTGTGAAGAAGACGTGGAGCGGCCGCCAAGCATCACCACGACATCATCATTGCTGTCCACCTTCCGAGGCCTTCAAGTTCTTCACGACTGTCTGCAATTCTCCCCATCAATACTACTTGGGCGACATGGCTGGGTGGCTGGTAGTGATGCACGGAAACCGTTCGCAGATTGCGCCGCATACCATCTTGCTGAATCCTTGTCTTGCGACACTCTTGGGTCCGCCGGTACACTCCCACTCTTCACCCTGTCCGTACTACGCCATCGGCCCTCTGTCATGGAGAGCCAGGCCAAATGCGTGGCGCCCTGTCAGAAACAGAGACCGCACATCACTAGTTCGCCAAACATTGCATTTGTTTGATTGTTTGAGACGCCAATAACGTCTTCTTGACGTGCATACTGCTACACCAAGACATGCATGCAGCTGTGCTACTTCACTGATGCATGCTGCTCAGACATTCTTGATGGCACCGTCTCTTCCGTCATAACCTACCGTAGCTTAAACGCCACTCACGTCCCCATCTCTCGCTGGCCGGTGACATACATCCCACATACGTCTCAAACAATGGTGGCTGTCCGGGGGAGGACCTGATACGGGCCGATGAGGCATGCCGCATGCCATGGCTTTTGTGACACCAGCACCAGGTTCTTTGGTACCGAGGCAGACAAGGCTGTGAAGATCCGGTTCGTAATCACTTCACCCACGCGTCTCATGCTGGTCAAACGTGTGTCGCTGGTCTCCTTGTGGATCTGTATAAACGCTGTGTCTGAAGATCTTGTCAAACATGCAAGCCACCACGCCATGGTTGGTGGGACAGTCTGTCCCTGCGTATGGGGGGCATATATTCCCACGCTACATACGTAGATGGCACTCACGCCCGAGCGTGTGCGACCGCAGACTGCTGCGCGATATCAAATTGGAGAGGCATTGTTCGTCCACGGTGCTCGCCTTTACTTGAACTCGCGTACTTACAGATGGCGTGGGGCATACGTCCTCTCCCGCTCAGCAATGTGAATCAGGAAGGTGAAATGCGACCACGGAAGGCTAGAAGAAAGGACGTGTGCCACTGGTACCGTGGTGCGCTGTTTTCTCCGGGAGTTATGTGCAGTTCTCAAATCTGGAGGATAATAATGACTGACATACCTGCCCACGCTATGATACCTAGTTATCATAACGTCCACCATGCATAAATCATCTGAAGGGATGATGGCTACATGGGTAGCCGGTGGCGGTTCTTCGTTGCTGTATCTACCGAAGTACCACCTGCTGGATCCTCACAGAACTAATGTACTGGCTCGTTAAGACGGTTCCGTCAAGGCACTACTACGATCCTTCGCCACCTGGGAACAACGATTCGATGCATGATACCGAGGAAGAAGTGTGAAGCTGCAGACCGAGGGCAAGTGTATCTGCCCTCTGCAATGATCAGAAAGTGGCAATCTATGTGCTGGATCGGATCTGTATCCTGTTCAGGAAGTGCTTGCATCAAGAAGCAGCTCTGAGAGCGCTTCGGCAAGACTTGGACTTTGCAGAAGCGTGTTGCATAAGTAGTGGACGGATACGATGAGACGATGAGGTGGGTAAGCTGGAGTACGTGCCGTTCTGTCGGCGCACGTCCACGTGGAAGTCATCCTGGTGAAGCAAGGGTAAAACGCCATTCAAGCCGAAGTATCGCAATCTTAGCAGTACAACAGTGGCATCACCGCTGTCGCCAAATGGCGCGAAAACAGGTTCCAAAGTCCGTCCGTAGTCGACAAAGCAGAGCGTATGGTCATAGTCTTTGCTGCCTGCACTTCGGTTGTTGTCAGACAGCATACGGCGCACACCACTTTCTTTACCTTGGCGTTTCATAGGCGCACGTGGCAGTGCGCTTACTTTCGCAGATGATGATGATGATGATGATGATGAGCCCGGCTGCCCGAGAGAATGCGCCGGCAGGGCCGGCACGCATGATAGTCGATGTAACTGCCCAGGTCGTGCGACAGGCTCTACATGTCTGCCATCGTACGAGCTGAGTCTCCTGGCGGCGGCTGGGAGTGACAGGATGTTTGGAAGGGGCTCACAGCGCCATATATTAGACATCCTGCTGCTACGAGGTTGAGCGGTGTGGAATCTCTTCAAAGAGCAGGTGGCCAGCGCAATCGGTCAGGAACACTTTCGCAGCGACTGTGGCTCGCAGCGGCAGAAAAGCTGCGACAAGCCGCTACCGTTGCCCGTTAGTTAAGTACGCTTTTTATCAAATGGCCCCTATTTGGTAAAGCAATTACTACAGATTTGATAAGTAATAACGTACTAGAAAAGTAGATATATAGAGCCTCTTTAGTTAATTAAATAGCGGATTTAACTAAGCTATTAGTTACTAATAGATATTATAATAAGCCGGCTTTACTAGCTTACTAGTCGCAATTTAACGCTTAGCCCTCGGACTGTGTTATAAGCGATATAATAGTCGTAATAACGCGATATATAGACTAAATTAAAGCTACTAATTAGTAGATAAAGACTATATATTTTGTGTGTAGTATAGATGTAGTAGCTATACTAATATTATTATATTAATACTTAAAGCCGCCTTAAAGCTAGCTTAAATTTAGCTTTAAGTAGTACACCCCTACACAAGACCAGTATCCCCTAATAAATACAGTAACAGACTACTACTTAAAGTTCTATTAGGTTACTTCTATCCCCTTTAGGTACTCTACTAAGCCCTCGCTCTCCTTCTCTTTTATACGCCCTTAGGTACCTATTCCCTTAATAACTACGCTTTCTTAGATATAGTCTTCTTCTACTAACCTCTTCTACGCGGAGATTTAGTAGTAACTAGTAGCTTAGTAGAAGACTAGATCCGCTAGACTATAGTAGGAGTAGGTATTAGTTACGTAGGTATAGAGATAGCGGATTCTTACTCTATAGCCGCTCTAGGTATTACCTCTCTAGTATAGAGCTGGATTGTTAGATAGTAGCTATCTTATTATCGTTAGCAATTAAGATATACGCTTTATAGTTGTTTAGAAGGCCGTAGTTGTCTATATTATTATAGCAGTTACCGCAACCGTAGTATAGCTTAGAATAAGAAATATCTCGTTTACGGTAGCTATAATATTTACTATTATAAGAGCTATTATAATAGCACTCGTAGATAGTGCTAATAGGTATCCTTGCCTATATTCGAAAACCCTCCGCTATACTAATAGCTTTAGACTCGCTATCCTTATAGATAGCAAATAAATAGCCCTTAGTTAGTAATAGGTACCGTATATACTACTTACCCTTTAGCTTACTCTAAGGAGTTATTAGTCGATAGTAATTAGGCATATCTTAAGCGGCATCTATTATCTAGATAATAACTACTCGGGGGCTAGACTTAATAAGGTATTTCTTCTAGATTACTATACTAATAAGGTTACTATAACTTACTAACTACGAAGGTCCTTACCTTACTATTACTACTAGTATAGGCTCTATTATAATTAGCGTTAGCGGAGCGCTAGTTTAACGAGATAAAGTCCTATAGAATATACTAGCTATCGCTAATACTATAGACAATACTAGTACTAGACCTATAGATAGTATAGCGGCGGTCTACCTCGCTATAGTAAGGCACGCCGTATCTAGGCTATAGAGGGCTAGTCTCGGCTACTATAGTAGTCGCTAGTATAGTAGTACTATAGCAGGCGCTTATATATCTAATTTAACTACTAGACGGTTGTCTCTATTACGTACGCGGTTATAGCTGTTAGTAATAGCTATAGCGACTATTATAGTACTTATAGTATCGTTATTACGAGCCGCCGCCTCTATAGTAAAAATAGCCTCGTGTAGGAATAGCTCGTTACCTATTATTAGAATAGGAGATAGGCTTCTAGTAGCTTCTATATAGTCGCTAGCGGCTTCTAAAGCCGCCTATAGACCTACTAGTATAGGATCCGGCTTCTTAGTAGGGTTACGGTTTAAGAAGGCCTTAAAGGGGGTTGTTTTAATAATAGTACAGAAGGTCTCGCTATAGATACGAGCGGCCTCTTAGATAGTAATAGTCTAGCCTCTTAATCTACAATCTATCTTAATAGTAGAGATACGCTTCTTAATAACGCCGTTAGCCTTTTTAACGAGTCCTTCTAACTTAGGGAAGTATAAAGCGATATAGGCAATTAGTATACTATAGAAAGTAATAAGAGCCTCGTATATACCCTTAAACTCGCTACTATTATTAAATTGCTATAGTCTCGGCGCTCTATATAAGTTAATATAGTCGTAGATATAATAGGCTATATTCTCGGCCTCTTTACTTTAGAGGGCGTAGACTCGACAGAATTTAGTATAGCAGTCCTTTAGGTAGAAGAGATGTTATTAGACACAGATAAGAGCCGTCTAGTTAGTCCGAGAAGTCAAGTCGCCCTAGACGCGGTCGTATATATTACTAGAGCATATATATCTAATTAGTACTATACGCTTTAGAGGCGCTATTTTAAGGAGATTATAGATTTAATAGTATAATAAGGCTATAGTAATATCCTCCTTTATTATACTATAGAAGTTGCAGCTTGCGCCTAAGAAGGGCTTTAATAGCTCTACGACCGTAGTAGACTACCTCGTAGCATTTAATTGTTATAATATTAAATATCTCGTATTCCTATACTATCTTAGATAAAGAGCTAACCTTTTTAATAGTATATAGCCTCTTATTTTTAGAACTCTAGTAAAACCTATTCCTCGTATAGTGCCTTAGATTGTAGTCTTTCTAGCTTATCTTCCTATTTAGTTATCGTTTAATCTAGTCTTTAGTAGAGGCATAGAATATAACTAGTTAGAGATAGCGCTCCTTCGTAAATTCGTAATCTATATCTTCGCCTTAGAAGCTATAT